AAAATTTTATTTGTGCTTTCAGGCACCTGCTGCAAAAAAAAAAAAAGGCATACTTTTTTTTCATCTCATATTTTGAAGAAAGTCGTTTAGCTCACAACAACAACATTTTTCTAGCAACAACTATAACTGCACTACTACAATTGTGCACACCTACTCTACACATTCTGCTAGCTGTATGGTGCTTCTTGAGTGCTAGAAAGGCCACTGCGCGTAACAAGGCTCACACTGGTACAGCCCCAATATCTTGGTGTCTAAAATTTTCAACTTCACCATGGTTCAATTCAGACACATAAAAACTTGTATGCGAGTTTGATTGTGCATGCAATGCAGCTACAGGCAGTACTGGTGCCATAAACTTAACAGCTAAGGTCGGGTATTTTGAAGACAGCTGTTTAAACATGCAGCGCTGATGAGATTCTTAAGATTTACTTTATCTTTGGGTGACATGGATGTCGTAGTTCTCTTAACAAAAAGTACTGGCAAGCGCCAGATCGTTTTTGACATTTCAGTTTCAGTGCTCGGGAGGTGAATACATCGCGATGGCAGAGTGCACCGACTTGCTCAGCTCCTGTGACATCCCTCGCCTGTGCGTAAGCTTTCTGTGCCTCTCACAGGTGAAGAGAGTCCGCATACACGCATGCCGCGGACTTGTAAATTTTTCCTACATAAGCAATGCAACGGTGGCCGGCCTCACTGCTACACAACGCCAACAAATTTTGCACTATGTTGTGGTGTCGCAGTGATGCATATACTGACACAAGTTTCGCATTTTAGGACCTACATTAATATCAAGTAAAACCGTCTTCTATGCACTTTCCTAACTTTAAAGCTTGCTGAATATCATTTGTATGGAAGGACATGCACGTGGTAAAGTTCTTGCAACGTTTAGAATTAGTTCCAATACAGTGAACGCACCGTGCCCGAAGAGTCTGTGACAGGCATAGGTAAGTCAGACCAACAGACTGCACAGCACAGAAGTTCCATTTCTTTAGCCCTTATTTCATTTCCATCTGTCAGGCCATAGTGACAACTAGTTGGGTGAGTGTATAGCCTGACGTGTTCTGCCATCTCTCTTTAATCCTGGGTGTCTTTTCACAGCTCGACTTGGTTTCATAGCATCTAGCAAGCAAGCCCCATCAGCACCTCTACAAAGTGCCGTCGGTTAGCTTTTTTTTTTTCACATTTTTTACTTTGTTGCTTGGTGTCCTTAGGACTACTACTGCATGTAGCAATGTTCTGGATTACAAATATTTCGCAATGCCACGTATGTGTAATTAAAAACATGGTAAAAGCGCATGGTACGAGAAAGCGGCTGGTAAAGACACGCCAAAGGCGTTTGTTTTCTAACTCTCACATATGAGACACGCCTGCGTCAGGTTTAATGGGCTTAGAGGGACACAAAAGAGAATGAAATATTTCACACACTAGTTAATCACTCTCATAACTCTGAAACCATCACACTAGCCACGATAATATGCTCAATAGGTGAGAAAACACACTAAAAAAGATGCGGGTGGTGTAGCCATCTTGGAATTCTCAGACCAAATGTGAAAACATATATTTTTATGGCACCTGCTATGTCCTATGTCATTCCTAATCAGTAAAAATGAAGTACATTGTACTTTGAGAGAGCCACAGACTTAGCATAGCAAGTTCCTGAAAATTGAACTGGGCCAATGTTGCGAAAATATGGAAAATATACACTGAAATTTGCAGTGTCATATACGGCATTTTTGGTGCGAAATTTAAAAATAAAACTGACATTCATTTTGCTCTCATTAATAAACCCATGATGGTGAAATTAACAACATTAGAGCTCTGAGACTACAATTGATCAATATAAACCGATACATTATTTCATTTTAGTGTCCCTGTAAGCAAAACTGCGGTTCAGCATAGTGGGAACATATCCATCTTTAAGGCCATTCACCGTTGTTCCTTCCACACCTGTCTGCAAGCCTATGATTTGTCATTGGCATGCATTCCGCCAAAATAAAGTTAACAGTGTTGATTGTTCGTAGCGACTGACGATCACAGGGACAAAAAAAGGACACTTATCAAACACAACTTTCGAAACATGACCCTCCAGTATGTGGGCGTAAACTGGAAAGAACACAGGGTATATACCATACCATCGAATGCAGAATACTATTTCGTATGAGCGCCCCTTGATAGGCCATTTAATAATACGTCAGGGCGCCCCACACGGGCAGCTTGAACAGCGCGAAGTGCGACAACACGGAGAAAACGGAACAGCATTCCGTATTCGATGGTACGGTATAGGTCCTCGTTTCAGCACTGGAGGATTTACTATGGCTATCAGTGCATTATATAGAAGCGAGCACAACTGCCACAAATGATTCCAGTTCGCCACAGCATATGACCGCTAGGTTCGTGGTAGCAAGCTGTCCGATTGGAATGGAAGAAGCGTGAATCGTTCTTTTGTAATTCAAATTGAATTCACCGATTTTCACTTAACTGGGCATCCTTAAATATCTGGCTGCTTAACTCAAGAAATAATGCCGAACAACTGAAGACACAAGGACATAGCACTGTCTCTTTATCGTCTTGTTCTGCATTGTGTCTCCGCGTGTGCCGAACTTTAACATATGCAGTACAAACTAGCCTACTGCTTAGTTTTGCAGGTCCCGATATATGTTATGGAATCGCTAGTCTTTCTGTGTTTCCTCACATCTTGGGCTCCAATTGACACATTTAGATCATATTACATTTTGAATACTGCTTTTTCAAAGCTCTAGTCTTGACAGAAAATTGCACAATCATTTGGCAATGCAAAGTAAAATGCAAGTGATAAATACATTTATAGATCCCTGCTTCAACTGCAGAAGTATGAAGTGTTGCGCCTAGCAACTTAGTGTCAAAAAGTTCAGCTTGACATGATAGCTGTTTGCTACAAAATTGAAATTAGAGGATGTATTGTTCACAATTTAACTGATGTGCTTAAATGGCAAATTGATGTTTGTATACAATGACATACATATATATGCTGCCGAGTAAGGCCTCATGTGTGGAAAGCCAGATTATAATGTACCATTCTGGTTAAGTTTACATATATTCTATTTGATCCAACCAAGTTCTGTCATTCGGACGGGAAAGCTTACAATGAAGGTAGGCACCTTTCTACTCTGCAATGGAGACTGTTTCTATCATACATTGTCACAACAAAGTTCTTTGTTAAGAAATGTTTTCTCAGGTATGCTTTGCAAAGTATAAATGGAAATCTCACATGGTATACGAACAATTGCACAAGGAGTGAAAGGGCAGTTATTAACATGAAAAAACTGCAGGAATAGTAACCTAGGAGTTCGTACCTTTTATCACTTACAAGGTAGCATTGAACTGTAACTTAGAATGAGACGCCCAGACTATGCAGTAGCTCTAGGCAACCACAAAAAAAAATTGTGTATCACGAAAAGACACACCCACGTTCAAGAAAATATGGTGCGTACGTTTTCACTCTGACACTATTCCATTGTAGTTTTGAGATGAAGAGAGAAATGTGAAAGGCGAGAATAGAAATATGGGCACTGCCTGACATGCCTGAAGTTTTGCAGGGTTTGTGGGTTCTTTGTCCTTTTATTCTCATAGTATTCAATAAGTTTGTGAACATTTGGAATTCATCTGGTGCTAGTGCACATAGCAAGTTATTTTACACAGGGTTGCCAAAGTCTAACTGTTATGTGACAGCACTACAAGTCTTGCTTCTCAATTTGCATGCTATTTTCCAGGCCACTTATGATGTGCATTTAATAATATATGTAAGCTCTGTCAACTAAGTGATTGATTGGGGAAACTGTAATGAATAGGGCTGACATCATTGTGGGCATTCAAGGTTCTTGTCTGAGGAACAAGTCGCTGCACAGTTCGGCGTGTGATATGAGATGAAATAGGCGAAGCCTTTCATGCTTGTAATGTCAGCCACTTATAACAAATGGGGACTGCTGAATGTGCCAAATAGTACACGTGCGTGAAAATAATTGACAATTACCCCACAGTATACATTTGCTCATATAAACTGATGCCCTGCTTTCGCAATGGATTAAGGCAATGCTAGCGCAGCTTGCAGTTCCAGCTTACATTGCAAATCATGCCTGACACTACTAAAAGGTACCAGCACGTAAAATTTTTTTTCGCTCTTAGTCGGAAAGCTCACACAAATGAAGTGTGAACCGAGGTTTTACCCAAGTGCTAAGGCAAAGCTGCACAAATTGCCTACTTAAAATAATTTGTGCTCGAATGGTTTTGCTTTTTCAATACAAAAGCACCAAATGGTGTTTTGCGCTATGTCTCAGAGGTTTAATTCTGCATTTTGTGATCTCGATATGCCTCTTTAGGACAGGTAAACATATTTTTCGATTTCGGTGACAACAAGCTGTATTGCCAGTTTGTAGATTTCGAGTCGCAAACATGCGTGACATGTTTCTTTCATAAAATGGCACGGATAGAGACACGAGGTGTCCCAAACTTCTTAATGTAATAGCACACATTTCTTTTCATGTGTTTGTTGCAGCACGAGGTAGGTAAAGCCCCATCTAAATCTGTTGAAATTCAAAATACCGAGACATTCCTTCCTATATATGTGCATTGCAGGAAAGGTCGCCAGCACTGTTCGGACCACATGCTACTGCTAAAGCTGAAACTATATGGTGTGAACTTCTGGTGCACTCTGCATGGCACTGTAGGTACTTATCCTTCGAAGTGGTTATCCAAAGTATGTGTTTAGGCAATAATACCATTTTTGTGATCGCACAGACCTATAGCGGCATACTGAGACAGAGTGGTAATGCACTGATAAAATTTGTTGCGAATGCATTGTTGTGTTTCGTTGCCCAAAACTCTACTACTCTAAAGCCGCATGTGCATTTTCAACCACTAAGGTGTGCTACATTTTTCATTCATTCGGTGTTCTCTGCTGCTCTGTATTATAACCACTAGCAGAAGATAGTGTAAAATGATTCTTAGGAATCCGAATATAGGCATGTGATAATATTGATAATTTTTATATGAAACGAGACAAACAGATGCACTTAGATATTCAGATTGGGCCCTTCAAAAGCTACAAGCTGCGCTCTTTTATCAAGTATATGAGCCTATCAATGGCCTTGCTCATTAACAGAGAGCATCATAAGGGGCTCTCTGTAATGTGTGCGGAAAGTGCGTTCTTTATATCGGCACATTCAAGGCCTTGTATCCAGCAACTCGTACCATGTTTGCCAAGTTTGTACCCAAAATACCGCTATACAGCCACACTTCGTCCCGCTAAAATGACGACCTCTTGTCTGTGTATTTCGAAAATCTCATTGACAAAGCACCCTACATCTGCAGCAAAAAAGAAAAAAAAAAGACTAACTAACAAGGCGACAAGCCACTCAAGTTAAAGTGCACACCGCCAGTATACATGGTATTTCAGTGCATTCTGCATGCTTGAAGACAACACCTATTTATTGTTACGATGATTCAACACGCTCACATTCACACGCACACATTTGCACGCACACAGTGCCACAGCACATTGCTCTCGCATCAGACTCCATCTGGTGTGGTCCCCCTCGCGTTTTTCAGAAAGCAACAACTACTTAACAATCCTCCACTGCACGCAACACTCTTTCTTGCTGTCTTTTCTTAAGGCATCTTGAAAACACGGAGCTGCACCAACGTCTTAATCACAAACAGCAATAACTCTGTCGCAAAGAGAGTAGGTCGGCATGACTGCTGAACGTACATCAGATCATTTTCTGCCGGATCCCTAACTTGACCTTACAAAGGGATCAGTCGAAGCAAGATTGCACGGCTCTGATGCCTAGGTCATGTAGAACTTCTATAAAAATGCCACATCTGTTACTCTCCAAGTGTCATGTTCTACGCATTATGGTTTGATACCCTGCAAAGTGCCTCTCGTAGTGGTAAACCTCTTTATAATGAAATTGCACTTTGCACGAAAATAAGTTCATTATAACCAAAAGTTCCTTATAAAGTTATATTCCAAACACCTAATCTATTACAAGATTCCTTTTTCGCTTACTTTGTTATAACCAGTATTTCGTTATATTGTATCCGGGTTTGTTATATTGCAGTCTGAGAATATTTTTTGGGCTATTTATAATAGCGCATTGTGCTTTCGGATGCGCTTTTATAGAGACGAGAACACAGTAGGGCACCAAAACTTCTCGTTGTCGTTTCCACTGTGCCTCACTGTATCCTTGCCTTCAACAAGGACATCCAGAAATACCATTTCTCTCTACAAGTCTAGTGCCAAGCTAGTACTTTCCAAAGCCTCACAGGGTAATACCCGTTTGTGGAAAGTTTTGGGCAGAAAAATATGCAGGTATTTGTAAACCTTGCTAATCTTTAAACTGGCCTTTGTGCAGGGAAATTCTGGCAAGTCATTTGTGTAGCATTTTGTACTAAATTGACAAGTCGTGTTTCCTCTAAACAAATTGAAAGCAAGCTGCGTGAATGGACTATGGTTACATCAGCCTTATTAAGGCAAATGCGGTGCCCTCGCTTCGAGCACGGTGCATGCTTTATGGAGAACATTTGTTCACACACTCAAAACTATGTCTCCCTCATTTTTTTGGAAATATGTTGGGCATTTGAGGACTATATCACTGGACGCATTCAACTTGTTTCAGGCTGGAACTTCGCAAGTCAGCAAGACATATAAGGCACTTCCTTGCCTCACTTGCAAAGTCATTATTCCGTGTGACATTGCCACAGCTCTGCGTCTTTTATATATCTCCAGGTGACAGACAGCACATCCTATAAAAACTAGCACACTAGCATAACCGCAACTCTCTGGATCCATCTCTGCAACAACTACAAACCCGATCACACCTCGGTCCCGTGCTCTTTTTGCCGAACTTAATGGCACAGAAAAACGTCAGCGGGACCAGCACTGTGACGTGTGCTCTACGTATTAATGCGACTTCGCAGTGAAGGGCCACAAGAACGGCCAAAGTACAAGGCCACTGTAAAGGCAAAAATCTCTATATGTCATGCACATTCAAGTAAATTCACAAATAGAGGCAGTCGAGACAAGGTGAATTGGCAACCACATGACAGAAAGCGACAAGTCACTGCTAAGTCAATCTAAGCTCGGGTATCTAAGCCACAAGGCTGCCACAATAGCTGCATTATCAAAGTGCTCTAGGAGTATAGCATAAGGTCTGAGAAATGCCGACAAGGAGATGGCAAGGCGTTTTAATGTCGCCTTTATATGAACAAATACCTGCGTCAATATCTTAGCACCATGTACGCACAGCCGCACGTGTCACAGTGGGAATTTCGGTGCCGAAGCTTGCCCCCATACATACAGCAAGCACAAGCCAACAAAAGTTAAGTTCATTGTCTTTTTTCTTTTCTTCTTTTCAGCATATATCGTGTGTTAGGTATGAAGCTCATTGCAAGGACGTATAGTTTCATGACAGTATGTTCGGTGTGCATGACAAGAGACAGAAAACTGCCATCTCTCAGCTGCAGTATATGGGTAGGCCTGCTTTGTACAGATTGTACCGACGAGTTCTCTGGAAATTGCAGCTGGCGTACCACGATTATGTCTGAGTGATAGAACAGAACAATAACGTATTACATATAGTTAGGCCTCGCTAAAATAAAACACCAGCATGGCATGCACCCAAGGCAACACTGACGCTGGAAGTTTCACTGATGTCTTGATTGCTTTCATCATCGCAGGTATGTGCCATGGATGCCTTTCTCTTGGATAGGTTGCCGGCTTCTAGAGATGACGACGGAAATGGCAGGACAACATTTTCTAAGAGCACTGACCTGTGAGGGACAAGTAAAGAAGTAGATGCTTTAAATATGCAGTAAGCAGTACCAAAGGCATGGCTTCATTTTGCTATGTAGGCTTAATGTCACACATTCCTAAGAGGCTCGAGATTTGTTCTGCCACAGCCGTCCAAACCTTACCTTTATCTGCAAATTTTCTGTACTTGTAAATTCTCCTAATTTCATGCCATCTTTCATTGTGCTTCCCTTTCCTTGGCGACCATATCTATTATCACTAAAGTTTTTATCAATATCTTGCTAGATGTGTAGCACGTTCCACTTGCACCAGTTTGGTCTACAACATGCAATGAAATAAGTAAAAAATTAAATAATAATTACTCAGCAACATGTGCAGTTATCTTAATTCTTTTTTACCTTAATTCTAGAATCGACACCACCCTCTCTGTCTCTTGCATTAAACCCTAAAATTTTTCACTTGCTTGCTCATTGTTTGTTGCCCAGCTTCTGTTGCCTAGGTAGGTAATAATAATAATAATAACTGACAAAGTTTTACATCCCGAAACCATGATATGATTATGACAGACACTGTCACAACTTGGCATATTCGAAACTGTTAGAACTTTTATATAGTACTTCCAAAGGTAACATCAAAACCTTATTTTTTTTTCTAAGTATCAAAAAGAAATGCACACGGAGCATTTCGTTTTACCTTACAGTGACACTCAGTACTCTTTTGTGTAGTATAGAGGCAAAATTATTCCAAGGAGTTTCTACGTCTCTGGGCTAGGACTAAAAACGTTCCTTTTGAGTTCCAAGTCCTGTCCTCTACTTGTGCAAATTTTTTTATTACAGAAGCATCATTGCTTTATCACACTGACATTTTAGACAACCTCGAGCATTATTCTATCTCTGAAACCTAAACTATTTGGTTAAACATATGGCATGAACGAGAGACAAAAAAAAAATAGATGAGACAGTTAACCATTCTTTTTCGAAGAACTTCTTGCTGGTCGAGTTGGTGCACAACTGTGATGGGAATCGTAGCGCATTTGATCAGACAAACACGGGAGGAAAAAAACGCTCTCTTCGTTTACTCTGTCTTTTCCCGCCAGCGTTCATCCGATCGAATGCGCAACGATTCCCGTCACAACCATTCATTGTCACTCGTTTGTGCTGAGCTCTGTGTGTACCGAACTATGCTGATAAACTAATAATTGCTCCTTTATAAGGGTACTGACACTAATTAGTGAAGGTGAGTAATTTTTTTTTGACATTGCAGTCGGATTTCAGAATGGCGCACTTACTGACATCGACACTATGGTGACGTCAGGCTACAAACTAGCACGGCTAGCAAGATGACATCGGGTACCAAGTTATTAAAAATGGCCGCTTCTGCCCCCAGAACAGCCAATGAGTGGGGCAACCGTGGAAGCATCACAATAATACTTGCGTGAGCAGGTGACGAGAAGCTCACACAACATTGCGATGTCGGGGTCAAGTTGGAACCAAAACCAGCTTTTAAAAAAGCAACTGTAACTGCTCTTTCGGTGGGTATACACACTTACCAGTTCATTTCATAGGCTCTTGAGAGCTTGGTCTTTCATTTGTTGTGAAAAAAAAAGCAACTGAACATTTCCTGATCAGTACCCCGTTAAAGTTAAGAAGACATTCTTAAAAGCAGTAAGCGGATCCTCCTGATAAAGGGGACTGCCTGATGAATAGTACAATTCTTTTCCCTCCTTCTTTTTTCTATCTTTTACGTCTGGCTTTTCGAATTCTTTTGCTCTTTTCACTTCTTTTTTCATGTACGTTACATCTCGTTTTTCTCTGATTTCTCTATCTCTCTCTCTTTGTCTTTGTTTTTTTTAAGTAGCACTGTATTTCAATATTTTTCATAAGGTACAGTGTGGCCAATACCCCTGTGGATATGAGCTAAGATCCTTTAGACGACCAAAAAAAAAAAAAAAAAAAAAAAAACACGCACACTTCTCTTTCTAGGGAATGCCTAAACTCTAGGCTTGTGCGAATATTCGAATATTTGAACGAATAGTTGAGTATTCGAATTCGCTTCGATTCGAATTTAAATCATCAAATATTTTCGAAGTATTCGTAATGAACAAATAGGTGTTTATTATTCTGCATGTCACCTCCTCTAAAGGTGGTTTCGTTCCAACGTAGAGGTGCTAAACAGTGAAAGCACTTTATCAGGGAATTTTTGCTTTGTCACGAAGCCCCCCTTCAAATTTAAAGGGGCCCTGCAACATTTACTGAACATCGTCAGAAAACGCTGCCGATCGGTAGTCGAGGCTATCGAGAACACGTGAGGAAAATACAGCGCATCACGCTGCTTGTTATTCACAATAAATTTTCAAAGCTAAGAATTGCTTTCTTTCCTCAGCAAATGGCACCACAAGCTCAAAGATCACTTGTAACAGCCAAGAAGGAATATACGACTCTGGTCACAGCCATTGGCTGATTTGAGCATGGCGCGCCGTCGTTACCGGAACCGTCGCGGGAGGTCGCCGCTTGTCTGCGAGTACGTGCGCGATCGCACTGAAATGCCGCGTATTTGAAAAAAATAAAAAGAAGTGCTCAAGGTCACAAGGTGCGTGTGACATCCTTTTTTTTTTCCCGTGCCATTCATCCCTGCTGAACTTCCAGCTATTTCGTTGGGACGAGAAGAGAGAATGCAATTGCAGCGTGCAACAAACTTTTGGAACTCCGCTCGTACTGGACTGACTCCAGAAACTTTGCGGCGGTAAATTTGTGAGGCAACAAGCACATTTACTGGCTCCATGGCTACTTGAAGAAGTGTTGCAGGGCCCCTTTGAAAAAACATGTTGCCCTCAAATCAATTCTTCATTTTATTAAGCTTCTTATGGTGGCATATATAATCCAATTATAATAAATTTTAAAACGTTAAGTATCTTATCACTCGCATCCTACCTAAACTACTACTCAAGGTTGTTTAGACTTCCTTTGAACGAAAAAAAAATGGCATTTGCATAGAGCTCCTATTTCAATTCAAAAGAAATATTGTGCAGTTTAGTTAGGTCATAATAAATATTCCTTTTTTATATGTCATACCTTCCATTCGAATTCGATTCGAAATTATTCGATCAAAATCACTATTCACTTCCAATTCGCTTCGAAGCTAAAATTAACTATTCGCACAAGCCTACTAAACTACAACCAAAAAGTAGGTGAAGAAGATGCGTAAACCCAACGTTTTAGAACCGACTTGGTTCCTTCCTCAGAGGGTACTGGGGCTACGTTGCAGCACGCATCTTCAACGCACTCACGAGGCAGTTAATACACTTTTCTTTCTGGTTAAGCTCAGATACTATTCATTCTGAGCTTAGAGGCAATTTAGTGGCTAAGAAAATCACAAAGCCCGATGCTATGGCTCGCTTACCTAGCAGAGGGGCAGGAAGGCCTGAAGTAGGTCGTGTGGCAGGTCGTAGTAGACGAGTGACGGGCTGAAGGAGGAGCGCAGGGCGGCGAGATCGGGTAGTGCAGCCGCCCACGGCTCACCGCGGCGGGCAAACACAGTCAACGAAGAACGCGGCACTTGGGCCAGCAGCCGCTGCAGGTCACCCAGCGAACGGCGCGCCAGGGGCAGCCACACAGGAAAGCTCACGGGCTGACCCAGGTTGTACTCTCGAACCAGGGCACCCATGCTCTCGACCATCTCCCGCGTGTACCTGGACAAAGCCGAAGTCGAGGCGTGTTACTTCTGTCATGCATATGTGGTTTATCTTACTGGTTTGATGATTCGAAGGTTGCAGGTTCGGTACCTGCCGGTGGCAAGTTATCTTATCGTCCACTTTTTTTTTCTTCATGTTTACGTTACAATTACTTCTAATAGCACCCCCTATAATTTCATTGGCATTACTGTCTGTTAGTTCTCACTACTATTGTTGCAATGAAGCTATCATCAAAATATTTGATAGGGATGGACACACAAAATCAGACAGGCATTGAAGGTCAGGCCAAAGTACCAGAACTGTCAGCCTCCAATGTGTCTGTGAAGTAGCTGATGAGTTCTGCAAATGAAGTGGGTTGCTAATGGTGTATTTAGACAGACTGAGAGCCCACAACATTGGCACAGACTAAGAGAAGGAAGATCATTAGTTTACTAGTTTTACTAGCTTTTTTCATTTTTTGTGCACTGTTGATGAATCGAAACAAATTGCTTGTACGTTTGGGAAGTGTCAGTTCCAATGGACTGCATGCGGGTCATTAATCGAGCAGATTACTTCATGTTACTATCACTAGCGCTATTAGCAGCTTTATTTAAAACCTCGGGTAACTACACAGTAGCTCAGCTATTGATTGTTTCACTAGTACTGGTCAATAACTACATTACCAGTGTCCACACCCCTTGTTGGTATCCTGTACCTCATGCCGTGTACTCTTGCTGCATGCCGAAGAACCTACCCCATCTTCAGACAGGAGCCTTCCTGAGTTGTCCATCCGAGAGAAATGATGGAACGAGGGAAACGGGTTCGACACAGCGTCAGAAAAGTCCAGGCATCCACAGGAGGCACGGCCGCACAGTCTGGTCCTGGCAGTACATCGGCATTCAGCACTACAGGCCCTTGAAGCTGTGCGGCAGCACAATTTATTTATTATAACAACACTCGGAGCTCGAAATAATGAGCACGAATATAACGAAATATCGGTTATAACGAAGTAAAAGAAAAATAGTTTTGCAATAAATAAAGTGTTAGGAATAACCTTAATAACGAACTTTCTGATATAGGAAGCCAAAGCAACGCGTGGTGGCGCTGCGACTTCGGACAGCCAGCACCATCTTTGGTAGAAAAGTAGAAATCGGAGATGGTAGATCGCGCATTTTCCCTTCGCTCCAATGCGCTGCCGCTCGCTTACGTGCTCGTGCAGAGAGCGCGCGCTGCGTTTGAGTCACATCACAATGTACTGCCTGCAGTGCAGCTTCACAAAGATCTCTGAGCTGGGCAAGCACTTCCGAGAAGTGAATCGAACAAAAGGAGTAAAGCTCGTTAGTCAAGTTTATGATTTGAAGCAGACGACGCAAGAGGAGGACGCCCGAGTCACTGCAAAATGCATTTCTCGGGTCCTCCCTGATAATACCGTGTACGACGTATGCCTCGAGGTAACTCTCATTCTGCCGACATGAAGCCGCATACTATATCGATGCGCTGTGTTGAGGTTTATGGAAAGCATTTAATTGTTGTTTTGATGTGGTATCTAGCAGTAGCAGCCGTGTACTGTCATGTGGAAACGTTTGCGGCGTGCTGAAAAAAATAAATAAAAAAATAGTTTTACGGTCGTGGCATTAAAATGTCCAAGAAGTTTTAGAGTCATGTCCTCCGTGCCGCGCATGACTCGCTGACGTCGCCGCGAAGCAGCGAGCGAAGTTTAAGTACAGCGAGTCAAGTTCAAGTGCTCGCCTTTTTTTTCCCCCCCGGCTCTCGTGTCAAGCGCTCTTTATCTTTCGCGAACGCGGCTGTGTTCGCCGGCTGTGACTAGATGGGAAACTGATACAGCCTTACACGTGGAGAGCGTCCCTTGGTGTTTTATGCATTGTTGTGGCAGCCCACAACACAATGCTTCGGACCTCCCCGATGCTACCGTGGGGCCGCTTCTTCCATTACGGAAAGGCAACTTCGCACAGCGAGCGTCTCGTATTAGCTTGTCAAGCTGACGGCACGGCGCCTAAGTTTCCCGCAGCGACTGCAGAACCTGTTGCGCGCGTCGCATGCGCTCCCATTTCGGCGAAACACACTAACTCGCCTGCGACCTCTCCCGCGTCTCTCTTCAAGTGTTCCGGAGCGTGCCGCCAGGGCCAGGCGCGGCGTTGTCATCGCTCCGCATACTTGAGCTCTGGTTCCCTATAACAAACTTATTTTCTCGTAATATGAAACTTTGTTATAGTGAGGTTTGAGTGCACCTCCATTGTCAGCCGTTTAAATGAAACTTTGCCCTGGCTCAATTAGATGCCATAAACCAGAAATGCTTTTCCCTGGGGAAAGATGCGGCATTGAAAACAACTTAAAATCTAATGTACAGAAATTAAAATCTGCTGCAGAGCTTGGGTTTCATATAAATTTTGAGGCTGTTTTTGCATCTCTTGCACGCCTTGCATGTCCAACAAGTATGCTTAAAAATTTTTGGCCCACATCCTTTATTAAAAGTAATTCCTATCTGCATAAAAAGCGGCTATTAATAAAACACAGTTCTATAGTCAGCAAGGGCAGAAGGCATGCCTGCACAAACTTTCAGGGCATGTCACAAAACAGCCCGCATAATTATTATGTGGTCATCAGGCGTCATGCTTCAAAGTGAGGCACAGCTTGGTGCTCTAAACTGTGTAGTACTGGTTCATAAACTGATGCAAAAAAAAAAAATTGATAGCTCAACACTTTTTCACTGTACTGAAAAAGTATTGCCGAACCTCTTTAAACTCCGTTTTATTATTCTTTTACTACTATGCACCAACCAACCCATTCAAACACACTGCTGAAAACTACTATAGAAAAAAACAAAACAGAAGCTTCACTACCGAAACAAAACTATGTATTTTTTGTACTATTTCAGTGTACTTTGTTTGAAAGTATAGTGCTTAGTGTGTGTTCTCCTACTTTCATTTTATATTTGTTAGTGTTTGCCATGACCATGCTTACTTTAACTGAACTAGCCCAAGTTGCTGTTCAGTTAAACAAGTCTGACTATAGCAGACTCAGCATGCAGAAATTCTTAAAAATAATTGTTGCCAAAATGGAGCAACTGCTTCTAGTATCATTGGATTTGCACCTGAACTCATCACATCCATTCACTTCTCATTAAATGTAATTTATATTAAATGAGAAGTATATTTTTCGTCTGTTCAAGTTCTTTTTAATAATAGACTACAGTGGCATTTAGTGTCACTCAGCAGCAGAAAGGGTTTTTCGCAAGCACTCAGAAACTGTCTTTTGCAAGCCTGCGAATTCACCTTGTCGATGTAGCGTGCCAAGATGCGGCAGGCAGGTTCAACGACCTCGGTAGACTTAAAGTCGAGTTTGACGCCCTTGGCCATGCCGCACAAGGCCAGCTCGTGGAGCCACTCATCTAGCGTCAAGTCACCGTTCCCACCACCACCGCCGAAGGCTGCCGCGATGGGTGGGTGTGCCATGACGGGTACCGGGTAGCGACCACTGGCGCCCATGCTGACGTCCCCCTCAATGACCATGCCAGGACCTCGCAGGGCCATCGCTAGCCGCTGCCGGCTGTTGACGGCGTGCTCCCAGACCACCTTGAGTCCATCACCAGCGGCCTGTGGAAAATAGTCCACCAGCGACGGCGCCACCGGGCCCGAGGTGGTGCGACCTCTGTTCCAATGTTCAAAAGCCGGGTATTGACCCCATGATCAGTAATACAGTCTGCATCAATTGACACAGCATAATATAAACAGTTCATCAGGTATAAGTACTTGCTTAACTTCAGATCGTTTTATGTACTATCAGCATCAAGCCTTCACTATAGTATAGTGTGCGCCTTTCAGTTATCACCATTGACAGGTGTGCATATTCTTTCGGCAGCCCAGAGCATATATGTGTGCCTGTTGATAAATGGATGGTGTGCACTATACCATCGCAAAGGCTTGCCGCTGTTCGGTTTTCATTCACGCTGATAGTACATGCTCATATGTACATGCACATACAAAACATTCTATACAATAAAACTTATGCGTGTTTCTTCGTACATATATGTACATTTAGGAAGTTTTATGTATAGGGTAGTGCACATCTAATGTAAACACCTCACTAGTATTGAAGGCCTAATATAAGCCAATGTTCAAAGCCTGCTACGAAAAATGGTCATTGTGTTAATCGACACCATGAATAGATGCCATACAACGCACTTCTCCATCATAAAATAAAATTAACATTATAGTTTACCGGCACATATACTAATGAGGTCTTCACCTCAGATGTGGTTAAGGCTCTTTATTATACATTCAAAAGTGTACAAGATTATAAGCCCACAAAGCCCAAGTGCAATTTACACCAAGTAAAACAAAAACATGCTCCAGATGATTATTGGCCGTAAAAAGTACATCTCCACACACAAAAAAAATTTGGTTGCAATGCATTATATGCTAGTAACCACCATTTGATTATAAATTACATTGGAATGGGGGACACTAGATCAATTTTGATAATTCGAAGTCAAATCAGAATTTCAGGCAAATTCAGCATAGATAAAGAATTATACATCAGGCTCTCTGGGATCGATGAGTGCTGCGATCAGAGACTGTTGCTGTGCCCATTTTTGAAACACCAGTTTCGTGCAAACAAGACAACACAGACAACAGGAGTGTTGTGTATATCTGTTTGCACACTATTCTTATGTACACATCTTGTTTGCACTGCTCTAGCACCTCAAGTGTCACTGTGCTTAAGCGAAAAGCTGATCACCTTTGTCCAGTATAACAATTTCCATGCATTTATTTTAGCTTTGCCTTCTTTAAACTTGTCTACCTCATTTTGTACAGTACAGTTTAAGGAATGCACTGAGAGTGTGCTTAACTTTGCACCAATCACATCACTTCCCAGCAAAAATTGTAATTATGCCACGGAGAACATAGTTTTGCTGAACGTGGTTCCCCCCCCCCCCCCATTTTTTTTTGAAGACAGATAAAGAAGCACTTTCCAATATCTCATTGATTTAGTGTGAAAAAGTATGTTGCATTTGAACAATAGAGTCATTACAACTTTTACCCGGGTTGAAAACACAACAAAACTATAATTACATGCACATTCTACTACAAATATCACTCTTTAGAATGCCACAAAGTGAAAATAAGATCGCTCTTAATGATAAAATACGGTTGTTGTAGCCAGTATTTCTTGTAACCATGTATTTATTACATGTGTTTCAATATCTGGGACAATGAGAAAATATTTAATTTGCTTATTTATGTATAATATCAAGGTTTATTACCAGCACTGCAATGAAAACCTGCACCGTTCAGGAGCCTGAACCAGCAGTTACATACCTTATGAAGCCAATCAAAACACAAGACACATATTCAATACAAAGCAGATAGTGAGTGGAAATGTGGGAACAAGAGGGCGTGTCAAGGTTCCTGGGACACCATGATACGTATGCCAAACTTTTTAAGCTTGAAAAGCCCCAAAAAGCTTGATTCTTCCAAACGTAGATCGCTAGGTTTTTTAAACTGACCCGGTGTTGGTCGTCCCGGGGCAATGTACTCTGTGGGCCGCCTTGTAGTCTTCATAATGCGTGGCTGTAAGAAAAAGAGTAATAAACACAATAGGGAGAAACTTAAGATGAGTCGGTGACATTTTCTAAAATCTCTACACAGTGCCTCACAAATAAGGATGCTACGAGACATCTTTTGATGCAACACTTCCAAGAAAATCAATCGTATAGTGTGTTTATGTTGTACTAAATAGGCAATAACACTGTATTTATGTACTCTGTGTATTGAAACTGAATGAAAAGCTTCCAGATGAGTGCAAGCGTGCCAGTGTGTCTGTGCAATGTTTGATAGTGTCTCTCACATGACTTAAATTTGGATCAATTGAAGTTATGAGGAATTTACTGTTCATTAAGTGCTCAAAACATATTTGCAATTCATTACACATATGTAATAAAAGCACAAAAGTACATGCACTACAACTAAGTTGAGAAAAAGACCATATTTAGAGAACAGACCACTTAATAATAACAAAAAAAACTTCCCTACAGGTGTGCACACAAGTACCACACTCCAATTTTTATACTATACATGTCAGTGTTTTTTCGATTGGTGTTTCACAGATCCCTTATGCGCATTAGACGCATACAGAAACATTGGGTGTGCCCAGTTTAAAGTATCAGCAACTACAACAGCAATACAAATACAAATGTTGGCAATTTGATTTAATGGCCTGAAATGTACTCTATGAAACTATTCACTGATTAAATGCTATGTTTGTATAATTGCGAAATCTATGGTCCTCCCTCCCAAAAAGAGAACTACTATACTATGGTAAAATATATATATATATATATATATATATATATATATATATATATATATATATATATATATATATATATATATATATATATGCAGACTCATTTATGCACTTAAATAATCTATGTTTTTTCGGTGTATTGTAATGCTGCGAAAATAAATATCACATGTTCCTAACGCAACGCAGAATTGGCACACTAATTTAAAATACCGGTAAACTTGAATCTTAACTACAACTGTGCGATACTGAAGATAATATGTATTTAATTATAATTAATTACACATCACATTATGTCGTGGCACTCTTGTAAGATCAGTGCAGAATAATCGACTGTCTCAGTTATATATAGTGCGACAAATCAGTCTCGGGCGTCGAACGACTGAATTACTAATAAGCAATTAATACCGGTAATAACCGCAGACGAGCAAGGAAATAGTTTGTCTGCGCGTACACGCCTATATATGAAACGTACGCCGCAGACGCACCTTTTCCCGATCGAACGAAATGTGTGCACTGCGCGCCCCGCGATATATGTGACCTAGAAAAGTTAGCGAAATTCAGGTGTCGGTAAAAAAAACAAATCCACTCTCCTCGCGGCACGCGCGCATCTGAAATGCGCGACGTACCGTTATAATTTCATTAGACGCTACAACGCCAAAGAATTCGGTTGCACGTTCAACTGATAAATCGAATTAACAGCACTATACCTGTTATTTCAAGTCGATCTAAACGATCGCAACCTTTAGTTTTTTTACGTACGCCGCGCGCAACAGCAAACGCGCGTTATAAAACCACCAAGCGCAGCTATGTAAGCGCGTGTTATGTATCGCGCCTACTCGAATAAAAGCGGAATAAAATATTGACGCGCGATTTATGCCCAAAACGCACAAAGAGTGCGAGGCTAAGGCACATACCGCTTCGAGGCACGAGAAAAAGAGTACGCGAACAGCCGAAGCGGCACTTACTTACCCGACATTCGGATCGGAGCTCGTCAGGCGGGCAACGGTACCGCTTCCATTCAGGGGGCACTGGCCTCTACTGGGAAGGTCAATGACACCCCCAGCCCAGCTGAGCCAACGCGCGCCGCTTGACACAGAAACAATGCTCCCCACCTCCTCCGTTCCTTTGCGGCCTCCTCCTTCCCTCTTTTTTCGGCACCAAGTTGAGCCACGAAATGTGTTGTGTACTCTCGCCCGAATCGCCGATCGCTACGTCAAAGCGAGCGGGACGCGCTAATTGAGCGCGGCTCGGACTCCGGGTTCGTGGCGGTGCACCTACGGGACACGCACGAAAAAAGCCGGGGAAGTTGCCAGCGAATGCGGAGAGGAGTCGCGCACGGGCCGCCAACGAAAACGGAACCGACCCAGCGCACGTGCGGGGATTAAAAAAGCTGTCTTAGTGCGCCAACTCCCAATCTTCTCGGGATGAATTTGCAATCTTACGCCGCTGCGCTTGTGAAGCAGTGCAACCGTTTGCGATGTTCTTTACTTGTAACTCGCAGATGTTTTTTTTTTGTCAACTTATAATTGAGTCGAAACGTTAGCAAACGCAAACAATACTGAGAAATTGTAGAGTAACAATATTAGAAACTTTATTTACTAATTTTAGTTATGACGTTCTCGGACTTGGTGTCGCCCTAATCGCAAGTGTGGTGTCATGGCACCGTTCATCGCCAGTCTGCTGGTAGTCGTTTTCGTCTGTTCGCTAGGTTCTCCGCCAAGTCAGCCAAGTTAAGGACGACTTCTCATGTGCACAGTCTTATATTGGAGTTCGAAATGCTCTCAAGCTCTTGTGCCGATATTGTTGCTTCGTTTTTATGCCGTCGCTACCGGCTGAAGCGACGTTGAAGCGCGAGGAACCAAGCCGGGCGCAGTTCTGTTGGTTCTGTTGGCGCAGGTCTTGCGCATCTCCGATACGTTTGGTGACTGTCAAACACTGCAGCATTCGCTGCGAAGTGAGAACGAAAACGTTCGGAGACAGTGAAGTGTATTCCTACGTGGCGAACTCCCGAACCTCCTCAAGGGGCTTTGCACGATGAGCTACAATCTACAGACAGTCGAGGCTGTAAGTACGCGTCGGCGAATTTCAGTTTCTGGCTCCGTATCTTCAACCTAAAAATGCAAGCTTAGGAATTCACCGCCCTCGCCTAGATTCAAGTTTGCTGTATGATTAGTTGAGAGTGGGTTTATGACTACTCCGAAATAGGCTGTTCGCATTTTCGAAGTTTAAATGCGCCGCTCGTCCGGTTGACAGTTCTGACGCATGAAGTGTTTGTTTATGTATTGTAGGTAGCCTCTTAGTCGCCCCCTTGAGGCAACTATGGTAGTACCTACAATAGCCCATCAATGCTTAGAAAGTTGCACCGAAACTAGCAGGTCTAAACACGGAGTTCTTAACTGAGGCATAGTACCACTGCCATAGCCAGGGGTACCCCCAGGCTACGTTATTGTTAAGTGGGAAAAATTAAAAAAAGGGAGAGTAACTAAGGCTACCCCCGTTACGCCTCCCTCCCCTGACGTTTCCAAATTTTGCATGTGCCACACACACACACACACACACACACACACACACACACACACACACACACACACACAGAGAGAGAGAGAGAGATTGACAAATATCTTGGAACTTGCGCAGATTCACTTAACGGATGTATTCTGCTCTTGTAGCTCGCTGAAACTTTTCTCATCGTACTCTCTCATTGAACTCTTTCTCAATTGGGCTCACTCGGAAATTCTCCAGCATATTGTTTGCTGGACTTGCTGAGACTCGCAGTTTCGTCAGAGTCTGAGAGTCTACTCAAGGTCCACGAGTCCAAAATAAGCTTTCCTGTTGATGGTGTAAATTCTTCTTAACTACATTATCTCACATAATCTATGCTCTAGGATAAGCCTTTTGATTTTGAATCTACAATTACAACTTGTCAGTGGTTTCAAACGAGTAAAGAAATTTTTATGAAATACGTGACTCGCACAATATTGTTCCATCAAGAACTCCCTTTGAAGTAGTTGGCATTGGGAAGTCGTGGCACCCCCATGCAATAAGGTATTTGTGAATATATTAGAGCATATATGCCAGCCAGTATAAAACTGATAGTAATGCGGATAGGTGAGTAGACGAGACTATAGATTGGCAATTAAAGGCGGAGCTTGCTCAAACTTGCTCAAAAAATATATTTTGTACTTAGGGCTTACACGGATTCAGACTTACCAATAGTGTCCTCAACTGGACTCGCTCGGACTCAAACTGACCAAAATTTCCCTCATCCCGACTCACTTCAACGCGCTCTCGCCAAAATGTTACTCACCCGGACTCTCTCAGACTGACCAGTCTGAGTAAGCAGACTCATGAGTGAATTGGCTGGTCTATCCATATAGACACACGCAGGAACGTATCTGAAGTATGCTTAAAACCACTTTCCCCCGAAAAAAAAAATTCTGGCTACTCTGTTGTGCAGCATAATAAAGGGTCTTAAATACGTGGTAACTTGCCAACTAAAGAGGGTGTTGCTAAGCTAAAGGTCACTGGTTCGAACCTTGGTCGCAGTAGTCTCATTTCAGTGGGGGCACCAACATATATTTATAGCCGGATGCTAAGGCACCAACATAAAGCAGGATGCTAAGGCACCGGGGTACTGAGACTACGGTGCATGTTTAAAAAGCCCCAGGTGGGTGAAATCAATCCAGAGTTCCACAGTATGGGAATTATGATTATATCATAGAGGTGTAAAACTGTCATTTGTTATTTCTGATAAGTATTGAATCTAACGAAGACAGATGAGCCCCCTCCCCTTGAAAATTTTACTTCTTTCCTTTATGATTGTACTGGGGTTTTGCCATGTAAGGCCACTAATTTTTTTGCTACGGCATATCACGTCATGTATTGCTTTTGTGTGGTAGAGCCTTAGTAAAAGTAGCTGTGGATAGTTTTTGTGACCTGCCACTTTGTGATGTGCAGGCTCTGAGCCAGCTTTACAGTAACATGGGTGCTGGCTCTGCCGAAGCGAATCAGTACCTGACTGCGATGCAGGCTTCAGCGCAAGCGTGGGACATTGCATGGAAACTTCTTGATAAAACCAAGGTATGACAATTTTGAAGTTTTTTGGCAAGCTTCATACCCGTGCCACATGGGCCCAGGATATGACATTCAGCAATGGCACTAATTTGATGCATCACATTTTTTTTGGTGGAGCTGCCACATGTGTTAGTTTATTGGCATTTGACCTGATGTTGATAACAGTGACTTTTGAAGTCTGGAATCTTGGCGCACTAATAATATGAACGTGGATCTTATCCAATCTAAATTGTGTTCAAGGCTATTGGAATGTAGAATTCAGTCTACTATGGTGTCGCTGAGTTGAATTTGTTGCGGTATTTTATGGTATTTCAACCACAGCAACTTCAGCCATTACATGTTGAATCTGAAGCCCAGAGTCATTGATGGCACCTGTAATTTGTTGTCATTGTTAGCTGAATTTCTCTATTGTGAAACTATAGAATGACAGATTTGTTAAGTAATGTATAAAATATTTTTGACACAATAGAAAAAATTGCGAGTATCCATTTCTCAGTCAAATGAGCTCTAACAAAGGCATTGGGGATAAATGGCATTAAAACAAAGCTGAAGAGGTTTTGAAATTCTATGAAAGTTTTGGTTAGCAAGGACAGTCATTACTGTCGACGATGTCATAACTTTTTCTATGGCTGTTGCCACAGGAGCTTTAGAATGCTTGGAAGAAAAGCTTTGTCTTACTCCATCCATGCGGGGTTGTTGAAAGCATGTGCTGGGCAGAAAAAACCACGCTTTCAAGGAACCGAAGACAACCTAAGTTGTCTTCGGTTCCTTTTGGCGTAGCCATGCTACACTTTGACAAAAGGTTGCCACAACTCACTGATCTGAACTGCGAAAACGCCGTTTATGTGACGAAGGCTGAAACAAGTATAGCAAAGCTAAAGGTTCTGCTGCTAGATTACGATATACAAAATAAAAATAGCGAAGTACTCTATGAACAAGTTTTTTTTTTTTGCATGAGAACTCATGCAGAGCTTTTCCAATTCAGCGATTGTCCTTCAATGCTTCGAAGTGATATCCTTTAGATGTGAGGCATCTTATGCTGGTGGCTTGTGTTCCTTGTCCTGCTATGTCTGCCCACCCCCCTTTTCTGCTCATGCGCGGTCCCCTCCCCTTCTCTCACCTCGCAACACCGACGCAGGCACCGTCTGCTAGCCAGTTAAAAACCGACTGCTTGTGCTGCACAATCGTTCACTGGCCACGTTGTATATGTAGGCACTGGATCTTGACCTCCAAGGTAGTGAAATTCTCCTCTGCGTTGTTGAACAATGTAAATTCACAGCGTGCGTGTTAACTAAAAGCGAACTACTGGCCTCTGTGTCCAATCGAAGTCTTCTGTCTCTTGTTGCCAGTTGGCGGTGGTTAGCATGTTCTAGTACGAAACACCGGTCCATCATTGCATGCTTTGCGCCTCCCCCGGTTTCTCTCCCGCACAACCCCGCAGTGAGCGCCACTGTTAACGCCGTCGCCAGTGTAAGCGTTAGTGCCCGCTGCTTCACATCCACACAAGGTTCCCTTTAGCAAGATACACCGTAATTTTTTTTCTAAGTGCTTCAGCTTCCCTTTAAGGAGAATGCCACCTGATTTGTCTGTGTGGCACCACACAAATGGCATTAAATTTCAGTGCATTGAGAAGTGGATGCCAGTCTCTGAGCCAATGTGGAACAGGCATTAAAGAGACACTGATCAAATAAATAGTTTCAGAATTGTTACTCTGTGTCATTAACGTAAAGCTGCTATTACCAAATAAGAACAGTTATTACGATGTCTTTGTTTCTGCAATAGCTCATCGGGACCGCACTTGGTAATGTGTGATCAGCTGCCGATCGTTTTATTTCAGTGTCTATGGCACTTCATTGGCATGACAAAACTCGCACGAATCTGGCTTTATAAGGCCTGCCTAAACATCGGCGAACAATTCTTTTGAGAAATACAGAACATGAACAAAATAAGCTGTAGAGTAAACAGAAGTCTGAGGCTTGATTTAAAAGTTCTCCCTAATATTTTATGTCTCAAGAAATGCTACACAATAATCTAAAGGAACTAAAGCACGAAATTGGCAAGTTTTGATACTATGCTATAGAAACATGGCCTACTAAAAAAAAAGTAACAAAAGCTATGGAATTCGGCTCTGCATCTATTCATTCTAAAGCTTTGGCATAAAATTTGATATTAACCTTCATGTTATACTCGGGCTGTTATTTTACTCCTGCTATATTAGTGGTTCGCCGAGTTACTTATGGCTGTAGCTTCATCTCTCTTGCAGACACCACTGTGCAGACAAAACCTCTGTTCGAGGTTCGCTTTCAGTGCATGTGGTTTCTTTTGCAGATTTCGTCACACTCGATATTATAAGGCAATAAATGGCTGCCCAGTTAAAGGGACACCAAAGAGAAACAATGATTTAATTTAGATTGATAAACTGTACTATGATCGATCCAATGCCACATGTGTAATGGTCATAAGTTTATCATTAGCTGAGAAAATCAAGGTCGAAGTTTCAGTTCTAACTTTCGTGCTGAAATCCCCGCACGTGACGTAAAGAATTTCAAAAGGTAATTTCGGTATTCTCGTGGCATTGGCTTGGTGAAATTTTCTGACACTTCATATGCTAGGTCTATGGCGCCCACAGATGACAGTGTACTTCATTTTTTGTCGAGTAGAGTGTGCAGGTCCCATTAGACGCCTTCAAAATTTACATCGCGGTGTGCGGTGCAGGAGTGTCATGATGGCGTCTGCACCGTGTTTTTTCACCTGCCAAGTGTCATGTTGCGGTAAGAGGGGTGTTTTCGGGATTATGAAATTGCCATGCCGCTGTGGTGTAGTGGCTAAGGTACTCCTCGGCTGCTGACCCGCAGGTCTTGGGATCGAACCTTGGCTGCGGCGGCTGCATTTTTTTGGAGGCAACAATACTGTAGGCCCTTGTGCTCGGATTTGGGTGCACGTTAAACAACCACAGATGGTCTAAATTACTGGAGCCCTTAATTACAGCATCTTTCATAATCATATGGCGGTTTCGGGACTTTAAACCGTTCTACTTTCATCATCATCATCAGCCTGACTACATCCACTGCAGGACAAAGGCCTCTCCCATGTTCCGCCAGTTAACCCGGTCCTGTGCTTGCTGCTGCCAATTTATACCCGCAAACTTCTTAATGTTATCTGCCCACCTAACCTTCTGTCTCCCCCTAACCAGCTTCCCATCTCTGGGAATCCAGTTAGTTACCCTTAATGACCAGCGGTTATCCTGTCTACACGCTACATGCCCGGCCCATGTCCATTTCCTCTTCTTTATTTCAACTATGATATTTTTAACCCCCGTTTGTCCCCTAATCCACTCTGCTCTCTTCTTGTCTCTTAAGGTTACACCTACCATTTTTCTTTCCATTGCTCACTGCGTCGTCCTCAATTTAAGCTGAACCCTCTTTGTAAGTCTCCAGGTTTCTGCTCCGTAGCTAAGTACCGGCAAGATACAGCTGTTATATACCTTCCTCTTGAGGGATAGTGGCAATCTACCTGTCATAATTTGAGAGTGCTTGCCGAATGTGCTCCACCCCATTCTTATTCTTCTAGTTACTTCAATCTCGTGGTTCGGCTCTGCGGTTATTACCTGCTCTAAGTAGACATTACCTGCCTTAAGTAGTTCTGCTCTACTAATAAGCAAAAAATCGTTCTTATCTTTATTGTCTCTCTAATGCTTGCTTAGTACCTTTTTAATAATCTGTAGGCTACGCAATGTAAAGACGCTCTTCCTGTCCAAATTGATGTTGATAAACCTGGAGTAGACATCGAGGATCAAAGTAGATTTTCTCTCTTTCTTTGTTTCGTCGCTCCTGCAGCCAGTGGAGGTTCAGTACTTCGGCGCGACAACCTTGCACACAAAGATTTCACGACACTGGTACCAGCTGCCACAACGAGAGTACGAAAGCTTGAGGAACCGGTTGTTGCAAGCCATGGTTGACTATGCACTGGGCCCGAGGCTCGTCCTGACCAAAATTTTGGTGGCGGTAAGTACTGCAGAAGAAATACAGTGGTGACTGTTTGGGAAACTCGTCGGTACATCCGCTAACCAGTTTTGAAGGATTGGAACGATAAATTTCCTTTTATCTTTTTATTTGCTGCTCCTCTGTCTATTTACTAAATAAAGTTGATTGATTGATTGATCGAAATTTAACTTACTGGTAATGCAGAAGTAATTGCTTAACATCTTTGTTCTTTAATTGTGTAATGAAATATGAGTTTATACATACCCTGTGAACTTTTGTCTTTTGAAAGTGTGTATACGGGGAGGGGGTAGGGGGCTTGCATTTGCTGGAGTAAAAACTACTATTGTTACACTAACTGTAACTCGAGCACAGCTTTTCTGACATGTGGGCTTAACACGGAATCGTGCTAATAATTTTGTTTTATTTTACCAGTTGGCCTCGTATGTTGTGAACACAATTGGGAACTTCTGGCCTTCCGCAATTGACGATCTACTAGCATCGTTACAACCACAACTGTTCACAATTCTGGCAGTGAGTGAGTTCGTTCACTTCCAGGTACAGTATTCCTTTCTAAAATTCGTCTTGACTTCAATATAGCAGGCATGGGATGGCATCAAGAGATGTGCTTAACTATGGGCAGGTGTTGCATTGAGCATAATGGCGTGAAATAGGGAAGGCAAGTTGGGTTAGGTTAGACCTTGACAAGGGAAAAGATGTGTCATATGTCTTCTTGACAAATAATGATCACTTGGCTGATTGGAGGTAGTGCGAGTCTTGACCAGAAAGTTTCCATTTCAGCCTGACCACCTCCTGAAAATTCTGCTGGATCTACTGACCTTCATCCCTGAGGAGGTACGTGATTAAATGACTAACTCAATGGCTGCGTTTTTCTGCCAGCCACCTCACTGAATGGCCGGTAGCAAAACGACAGTGCCAAAGGTTTCCAGATGTTCAATTGCCAAGCAGTTCACGAAGCATAGCCAGTAGAACAGCAAAAAAAAAAAAAAATGTTCTTTGGAGACATTGGCACACTCTGGGAATCTGAATACCTGGTCGTGAATGTGTTTTTTTTTTTGTTGGAGCTCACTTACGTTGGACCTTTAACTCTGACTCTACGTGGTTTGGTAGCATGTGCCATGCACGGTTTCAATGTTGGAAAGCCTCGTTGCCATCTTACAATTCACTGCACCAGTTTGAAGAGGTGCTAGTGTCAATACTAGCCATTCGAGTGCTGGTGCGAAGATACTTCTAAGTGAACCAGACATTTATTCCTGCACTGAAAGGCACCCTGCAATACTTTTGCTAATAATCGTCAAATGGCTTCACTAAAATAGCTAATTGCCTCACAAACAGACAATCTCGAACATTTTGAGAATCCATCAAGTAGGAGCACTGTTAGAAGGATTTGCTGCATGCCTTAAGTGTTTTTCTTCTCCTTTCATACCCGAGAGCATGCCGAAAAATGTGAATGATGGGGGACGATGAGGGGCCAAAAAGATGCGCCCCTTCATCAGCGTGCGCAATGTCCTTGAGCACTTTTTTTTTCCTTGGACGCGCTGCTTAATTACTTTTATTGTAATCGGGAACCCGTGTGCAGGCACGCTGCGACATTCTGCGGCAACTTTTTAATTGTTCCTCCATGATGCTCAAATCAGCCAGCTGTCGGGATTTTTAGTCCATGGCGCAGAAATTTGAGTATATGGTGTCATTTGCAGAGAGAACAGGGAGTGATTTCTAGCCAATGTTGAGAATTATCTCTTAATTCCAGACCACGTTCTGTGCCATAATGTTTATCTCCCATTTTCTGAGAAGCCTTGACTACCGATTGGTACACTGAAAGTTTTGGAGGGCCCCTTGAATGCCAAGGAAACTTGTGTGTGAAAGCAGCAGAAAAAAAAAGAGGCAGTGCAGGACATGGCAACAAAGGCATCAACAGTTGTCAAACATAGCATGTTATTTTACGAAAGAGCTTGTCTTAGTGGCCCCTGTACATTCTTTTGATTCAGAGGAGTCTTTCCAAGTATATAAGGACGAAGCTGTTCACATTAGTTGAAACTCTGTCTTTCTAGCAGAAAAATGTTTTTGCCAATCTTTTTGCCAATCTGTATTGTTACAGCTGCAGTCAACAGAGCAGTTGATGAGAGGCCCAAGTCGGAAGTTGTTGGAAGAATCTGGTGGCAAGATTGTGGCCTTCATCAACAGACTTGCAGTGCTAAACACTGATGCCCTGGGCTGCCTCTCCTCATGGTCCCAGCTGGCCTTCGTCCCGGAACAGCACTTGGTGTTGCTTCCACGAGTACTCGCATGCGTCCGGAATGCCGAGTTTTGCCGCCCGGCCGTCGAACTGTTGACCGTCATTGCCGGACAACCGGACCTTCACAAGTGGGTGGCTGCCAGTCCTGGCAGTGAATGTGATGCTGCTTTTTTTTTTTTTGTTTGTGAGGGCAGACCATTAGTAAGTCCTAATCCAGTCAGCAATTTTTGTGGGTATCAATGACTAAAAACTGTTCCTAGCTGTTGTTATGCTGTATTTACTAATAACACTCAGTGATTGGTCAAAATCTTCCCCACCACACCCACTGTGCCCATTGGTTTCTGGATTCGACAGTTATCCAAATACAAGACAGGCCAATTAAAAGCCAGTTACACTTAAGCAGTAGTTGTGTTTTACTGAGGTTCCCACGTAATACCAAACACTATAAACTGCCCACGGCTATGTCTCAGAAACCAGTTGGGGATTCTCTGCTTTGTCACTTCTCATTTATGCCAATCACTAGTAGCCAGCAGTAACTAGCCTTTTAGCAAACGCTGTTACTAGTGGCTGTGACATTGCAATGCTGAGGCCAAGGTTGCGGGTTCAGTTCTCGCTGTATCAATTGAACTTCAATGAGAGTGAAAGGATATGAATGTTCGTGTATATACGCTTGGGTGACTGTTTCACATAAATGCGTACGGAGTTCCCCACTGCTTTGTCTCATAAGACAATATATTTGGCACCCAGGCCCCTAAAATTGGTTCTTGAACTGCCTGAAAAATTTTTCAATTTGTGAATGACAATTCAGTTTGGTCAAGTTGAAAGGATGATATTTGGTTCATCATTAGCTTGAATATGTGCCTCAAAATATGCACACCCTCCCTCCCAATCAAACTTGCTCATAGACTTCCTCTGCATTAATAAAAAAAATCTAGTTAGACCAACCTTGTTGCTTCAAATGCCAAATAACGTTTTAGTGTTTTACAGTGCAAGTAAAAGCAAACAGTGCAGACATCATTGTAGACAGTGCCATGGATGCACAATTCGCACTGCAGTGCTGATTTGCAGTATTGGCAGTGACCACAGTAGCATAGCTAGCCATTTAATTATGTTGGCTTCACTATAACCAACTTATTTTGCTTGGCTTCACTATAACTATGCAAGTGATAACTAGTCAAAACACATCACTGTTCAGTTTATGTGTGTAATCTGCCACAAGAGTTCACTTCAAAGAGGGCCCACTGTAATTGTTGTCTAATTACAGTTCACTTGTTTAACAGGTTCCCTAGGTTCGTCATGGAGGTTATCAGATGCGTGGTACAATTAGACGACGTCTTCTCTGAAAAGATGGCCTCTGGCGATACGGTTTGTATCTGTATTTTTCTCTCCCTCGTCGTTAGGGGCATTGTATTTTGTCTGAAGTATAGTGCGAGCATAAGTGCTGTGCCTTTGTAGTGTCGCCTGGTATGTTTGCGACGAAGTTGACATGGTTTTCGGAGGAGATGGCATAGAAAAATAACAAAAGAAATATTTGTGGGCAAAGCTTGTGAAGAATTCTCGAATTGGCGTTGAGCATGCACTTTAATCTCATTTTAATTAATGAAGCCTTGTGCTGTGCTTTACTATGTCCTGTGACATTGGCCCCTCTATTTGTGTTGTGGTAAATTTGCATATAAGTTCTTAAAGGGGCCCTGCAACGCTTTTTGAGCACGGTAGGAAAATGTTGCTGGTTGGTAGTCAAGGCTCCCGAGAACACGTGCGTCAAATATTATGGCGTAGCCTAATGACTGGAATTGACGATAAATTCTCGATGTCAGCTGAAAATTGCTTTCTCTTCTCTAGAGAAATGACGCTATAGGCTCAAAATCACTACGTCCCAGGCCAAGTATCAGCTGTTGCTGATTTGAGTGTGGCGTGCTCGGTCACTACTGGGGCTGCCGCGGTAGGCCGTGACTTGTCTATGCATGTGCGTGCGATTGCACGGAAAAGATGTATGTTCGAAGGAAAAAAAAGAAGAAAAATGGTCAAGGTCACGAAGAACATGTGACAAATTTGGTTACCCCATGCCATTCATCTCTGCTTAGTTCACAGCGCTTTCGTCGGGATGAGAGAACACAGAATGCAGTTGCAGCATGCGACAACTCTTTGTTACTCCACTTCTACTGGACGGATGTCGAAAATTTTTGCAGTGGTAAATTCGTGAGGCAAGAAACTCCTTTAGTGGATCCATTCCATGGCTACTTAGAAAAGTGTTGCAGGGCTAGTTTAGTAATAACTGTTTTTCTACAATATCTGCTAAAACTGGTTACTACTTGCTATGTGACAGTGCTTACCTTCAGCTTTCACTTTTTATTGCTCCTCTAGTTCTTTGTCTGCACAATAGAACAGTGACTATAACAAGCATGCTTGATGTTGGCAAAAGCGCGCAACACACTGACGTGAGCCTGTACTCGTTGTTGCAGGAATTGTGCGGTCACCTATGCAGACTGCTTGTTGAAATTGTCGAATGTCACGCCCACAGTATGGTGTTGATGCTGCTCAGCAAGACTGACCACAAGCCCACAATACTGAAGCTCTTTGACCATTTACTGGTGAGTTATCAAAACGGGCTTACAGGACTGGGCAAACTTCTGCTTGTGTGGACACAATACCCGGAGTGCCACCGCTTAAGAAGAAGTATTCTCGATGTGTCAGGAAAGATGCAAAAAGACTGGCGGTGATGCTACCTTGAATTTCTTGCACCGTCAGCGGTCTTAATGCCATTTGCTAGCACTTGCATATAGGCTGTGATTTGTCAAATTGGATTATTTTGTGTTCTGAAGAAGCCGAAGACCAACGTTAAGTTTTGTGGACCTCTGCTGTGCCACCGTGGCCCAAATGTGATAAGCATCTTTTAATAGCTGATGTTGTGCTGATATGGCTTTGGTGTTTCAGCACAAAAAAAGTACATATTTATAGTATAGTACTTGGTCCTTAATTTTTCTTTTAGTACTGCGTCTATGACTGAGCATATTATGACAGTAGAACTCTCACAGAATTTGTCTTAAATCTGACTTAGCATTTCAGTTTATTGTTCCTCTGTGGTATATATGCATTGATTTAGTTCATGTAGCTTAAAGGTACATTGAGACATTTCAAATTGCGAGAACTCCACTGTTTAGCATTTTTATATTTATATATTTACTGTTTCACTTCACCTAAATTTTTTAATGTTGCAGTGCCATAATTTATTGCATTGCCGCTGTTTCTCTTCAACCGGCTCCTGACCAATTGTGCGAATTGCAAATGTACGATAACAAACAGATTTCAAAATTTCATTCAATGAAAACCTCTCTAGACAGAGCTTTCCAATTTCCAATTAGTAATGTAAGCTACACATGTGGCGTCGTGAGGGTTCTTTACTGCAGTTGTTTTCCTTGTAGTGCAAGTCAAATATAGGGCGCATGTAAGCACACATGAATGCAGCGACTGATAACTTGACACTTAGGATCTTGAATTCCTTTTCTGTGTCGCAGTGTAGGAGCGCAACCTACAAGGAGGGTTGACTTCTTCATACTTCACTCTATGCGGAGGTTGCACTTCGTCGTATCGCAGAGAGATTCTCAAACTCTGTGTGCCTAATTAACACCTGCTGTGTCCATATGGGGCTACATTTGTGGCATTATTTTATTTGTGATGCAAGGAAGCGTATTGAAAGAAAACGTGGCTGATCCATCTGTTTAGGAATCGGTATTAACAGGAAGATTAAACGCGTATTCACAGAGGCAGTTGAGCATTTTCGAGCATTGTTACTCCACAGGGGTGATGGAATGAATGCTACAGCAACAAATTGTAAAGTCACACGAAGTAGCTCACGCACGCTGTAAAGTCACGCGCGCTGCAAGTAGCTTGAAACTTGCAGCGCACAGATCAAGCAGAACTCGGGTGCTGACCCGCAGGTCACAGGATCGAATTCCGGCTGCGGCGGCTGCATTTCAGATGGAGGCGGTAATGTTGTAGGCCCATGTGCTCAGATTTGGGTGCACGTTAAAGAACCCCAGGTGGTCGAAATCTCCGGAGCCCTCCACCACGGCGTCTCTCATAATCATATGGTGGTTTTGGGACGTTAAACCCCACATATCAATCAAATAGATGAAGCAGAAAGCACGCCTGTAATGAGCTTACACAAGACAAGCTCAGACTAACTGTCACAGCTCAGCATTTAGAAAGGGAGATGCACAAACGCACAAATACACACAGGATGAGCACAAGCATTTGTTACAATTCTTACTTCATTGTTTGTGAGCAGTGTGCTCCTTTCGTAAACTTGGCCGCTCTAGCCAGCGAAGTGACCTTCATGCTCTTCCAAACCGCAAGTCTGATAAGCGCGTGCGCAGGAGAGACAATGCCCCGTGGAGGCACCCGCTCATCGAAACGCGGGTAGCGACGACCTTTAGAGTGCACCCAACGCGAGTGCTTCATGCCATCTCGCTACTGATGACGAAAATGCACTGAAGTGGCAGAGCTCCGATGACCGCAAAATGGCATATGGTGTGTACATATAGCGTCCCGTTAACTAGCTCAGTAATCTGCGCTCTGTGGCTTGGTGGTTTCGTGCCGCATGCTGCGGAGCGAGAGGTTGGTAGTTCGACGCTCTCTGGCAGAACTTTTCCTTCTCATTTTCTTATTTGTAATCGGTCAGTATATACTTTATGTTATATCCATGACGGAAATGCATCAGTGGAGCTGTGGTGGACCCCGGCATGAAACACTTTCACGTTAAAATGTGTTCCCAGCAAGCCCACATCGCATCCCTCTTCTTTCCCGTGGTGCCTAGAGCCACTCACCAAACGTTTACTTCTTGCAGAAGTTCACGGGGACACCGCACCAGTACCCAGTAGAGGAGACGTGGAGCCGTGACTCCCTTCCGGCCTGGCACGCGCTCCAGGACTCGGTCACCACGTGCGAGGGGCCCCAGCGTGAATCCCTGCTGCTCATGCTGCAGCCGCTCTGGCACAATCTGTTTGTGACCCTTCTGCGCAAAGCGCAGTTGCCTTCAGATCAATCTCAGTGGGATTCGGGTATGTTATCAAGGTGTCTGTCATAAATTTCTAAACAACAAGCATATTTGAGGCAGACTCTGCCACACAGTAAGCCGTGCTTTCCTTGAGTTATCACTGTAAAGCAACGGCAAGCATAGATAGCACCATCGTGCACAGTTTTAAAGAGGCGACGGCTTTGGGTGTGTTATCACCACTGACAACGGTGTACAGTGCCTTAGTGAATTTTGCGACTTGTTAACATTTTCTGGCAGCGACGTCTGACGGGAGTACAGAAAGCAGCTTTATCGGTGCGGATAACTACGTCGTTGTTTCTGATTGCAGCGATGCGGATATCATGGCTGACGTTACTGGTGCCGCCGAAGTGGTGCCGTGCAGTTATGAACATTTTAACGCTGCCGCTAAAGGACATTTTACGACCCTGCAGAGCTTGCATAAGTGTTCACCTTTAATCACCGCTGTTGTGGCCAGAGGTGCTGAATTTTCTTGTTTTTAAAGCTTGAATGCTGGAATGATAAGGATGGCTTGATAAATTGACTGTGCGTAAGAGGCAAGACAAGTCTAGTGTCTTTCTCACAAGAGATGAAGTGCAGTAACTAGCAAAAGAAGTTGTCACTTTTTTTTTAAGTGTACTGTGAACGAATCGTCATGTAAACGCTTATTACGATTTCTGAAAGCCACTTCAAGAGCTTCAAGGCATTAATATGAACCTTAAAAATGCATATTTCTTATTTTGAATTATCGATATATCGAAGTATTTCACAATTCCCTTCGAGTTCAATATATCCTGGATTCACTGAATGTTTCGTTTACCGGAAGTCCTGTTTAATGAGTGATGAACAAGAGTGCAGAATACAAAAACAAAACCAATATTGTCAGAAGCACGTGTTCCGTTTAACAGATTTTCGTTTATTGAGTCTGCTGTATAGCACATTTTAAAACTTAGCATGTTTGACCCATTATTGCTTGCATCCTACTTATGTTTAAATCCTTCTACTTTTCAAAGTAGCTTCTGCTTCGAACGAAAAAGAATTCGCTCATGCTCAGGATTCTGCGGCTGTTCTTCTGTGAGGCACTTTTGTAACATGTTTTAAGCCAGCTAACCTGCACTTTTTTCGACCTGCTTGCAGTTTCTAGCCACACTGCTATCAGCTGTGTAAAATTATGTGAATGCTCTGTGACGCACTGAACTTACAGGAATTCTTTTGATCGAATTCGTAGTGGTGGCTAAAATTCGTGTCAAAGTAGGTCTTGCTAGATTCGGCGTGCCGTGTCTCAAAACAGAAAATGGGGCCATTGTAAATGGAGTTGCCGTAGTTAAGGTTGTTTTCTAGCTTTGATGCATTTTTAGAGCATCTCCTTTTATTTTTATTGTGTGCAATGGTTTTTATTGCATGTTCATTGAACAGAGCAAATGGTTTGGTTGAGTGAACATACTTAGTGCTTTGATGGCTCACGACTCTGGGCAAACCAAGGTGGCCGAATAGTATTGATAGCTTTATTTAACTTTCGCTATCGTAGGGTGCTGGACCTTTATATCTTTCTGCACGTGCGTGACATATGGGTGCTCTAAAGACTGCATCAGCGTTGTCTCAAATTGTGTTCACCAGGACCTGGTTCCAACTTTCTTTTAAAATTAAAATTAACTGTTTTCATATTTCTGTGTAACTCACATTATAGTGGTTGTTTGAGTCTAAAACTAAAAATAAATTTTTTATTGACTGTACAAATTTATGTTGAACGAACTTTCTATATAGCAAAGTACATTGCCGATTTTACAGATTTGCAGACTTGTATCAGAGTTTCACTGCATTTGGTTGAGATTCTGAGTCTCAACATGGTGCTCGCTTTCAGAGGAGAAAGATGCCTTGCGGTGCTATCGCCAGGACATCGGTGACTGCATTGTAAGTAGGGCAAAACATCCTTTCTTTATTGTTTCTGGGGTCAGGGTTGAGCTTGGATTATCTTGCCCGAAAGAGGATAGTGAAAGATCCCGCAAGATTTACATGTATCACCAAGTTCGTGTCGGTCAATTGTTTTTTGCGTATGACTCGCTCTGAGGTGGCTTTAAGTGATGAATAACAAAAGAGTATTGATAGATGTATGTGTAGTTCAAGTCACTCAGCTGATATTCCTGAATGCCACCAAGGAAAGCGTTTGTTACTCGTCGGTAGCCTAAGCATTTAATAGTTCCACGCGGTGTAGAAAGCGAGACACAGCTGGTGTACAACACTCGCTTTACAATAACAGCTAGCACGAATGTAGGGCGTTGACTAATCTGCTTGCTATAAAAAGCTTTGGCTTTTATAGATGCCTTATCGAACCTTATGGCTTCATTGTAGGTGCTCTAGAACAAAAAACTGTGTCACTCGTGTCCTGCGTGTAATCTTGACGAAACAGTGTGAAACACTCTTCCAGTTTTAAAACGCCGTGTTGTTGCCAGTGACGAGTGGTTATATAAGGAATTCTGTGGTCATAGCCCAATCGAATTACCATAAAAGAAATAAGTGCCTATAGCAATAGTATGCATTTTTTGTTGCGCAGATCAGTATTTGAAGGAATTCGTCACTAGGGCATCTGAGACTGTTTGCATGTATTGTGAAATTTGAACAGCTGAAAGGTGAAGGAACTGACAACTAATTTTCATGGTGACATTTTTTTTAGCAGAACGAAAAGCTTGTCGGTAAGTCAGCCTAATCACGGAATTTTAAAGTGGAAAACGCCCGCGAAATGTTTGTAATCAGTTTTTCTATATGCAGCGAATATGAAGTCGTATACTCACGTGCAGCAAAAGTCACAGACTCCATACTTCATAATCCAGCTTAGAATCTCTTCCGCTAGGCTGTGCCACATGACTGTTTTTGTTACTTTGAAGTACGATTTAAAAATATAACCCTTACTCACAATGTGAAGAGTGCTGAAATCTGTGACTACATTTCGTGGTCTTTTCATTTCCGCTAGCACCTAATCACACTTTCTGGTCAGTTGTTGGTCTCTTTAATTTTTTTTGTCTCTTCGTGTTTTTTTTTTTTTTTTTCAGATGGCGCTGTTCGACGTCTTGCGGGAGTCTTTGCTCGCGGCGCTCGCTGTTCACCTTGAGCTGGCGGTGCGTGCCCTAGAGAAGGACCGTAGCGCGTGGCAGGCAGCAGAGGTATGTCTATTGGCACTGCAGTCAGTGGCAGAGAATGTCAGACCCCAAGACGAACCATACCTGGGACCCCAGCTTCGGAAAGCCCTGCCTCATCTCATGGCCGACCCTCGGCTCCAGCCAGCCACCCTGACTTGCCTAGGATCCCTTGGCAGCTGGCTACAGTTGAGTGCTCTGTCAAACATTGCTTGTGTTGCAACATTTTCGTAAGCTGCAGAATGGCTTTTTCAAACTCGGTTGCTTCACAAATTTTTTGCCGCAGAATCTTTTCGAATCTTTTTGTTTTGAGTGCAAGAAAAGGTATTGCATCACTTGTGGTCTTTCTTTTTCATCACCACAAGCGTGCCGAGAGCCAGGCTAACCTAAAAGTTTGGGTTAAGTTAACCATTCTTTGTCATTTTTGCCTAAGACTGCTCGAGATTTGGAGCAGCTTCTTGGGTGTATAACAAACATCTGTGGCCCCATATATTTTAAAAATGCCTCGTTAACTAATCTGCTATCTAGACTTCAGCTATTGTGCAAGTCTTTGCTGAATTTCTGCGAGTTGCTTTATATATATTTACTGCATATATAATTCTACCTACATGCCTATTTGCTTGTGTATTATGGCTACATTGTGTCGCCCATGTTAAGTTGTCAATTTTTGTCTATTACACTGATACATTCATGTATGATAGCTCCTCCCCCTTTGTAATGTATTGTGTTCCCTGGGGTAAAGTAAAATTTAAGATGCAGTCAGCTACGCAGTTGTGGTGCCAAGCCCAAAAAACTCTCTTGGTAAGCGTGAAAACACAAAGAAAATGCAGTTGACAACCCCACCGTGATATCCCGTCATCAAATGCTATGACATGGTAGATTGTGATAGCGTCTAAACGGTCGTATGTAGTTCTTGATTGTTAAAAATGAAGGACAGTACTCTCAATGAGCGGAACCTGAAGGTACTGGGAAAATGTGTTCTATTTAACAGAAGTGCCATTTACTGTGAGACGAACAGGGGTGCAGTATTCAGGAACAAAACCAATCTTGTCGGAGGCAGTTGTTCCATTCAAGCAGCAGTTCCGTATAACAGATTTCCGTTTACCGAGAGTCTACTGTACATTGTTCTGTGAGGGGGGCCGTAGACTCAAAATACAAAGCTGGAGAAAATTTCGTTAAGCCAGTGTTTGCGAAATACGAAAAATCGAAATTCGTGCCTTCTAGTACTGCGATTTCAGTGATATAAACTCGAGTTTTTTACCTTGGTTTTTTTTTTCTAATGAATTCATAAAGGTGAAATTTCATTAGTATTGATACAACTTATCATTTTAAAAACAGACCTAATGACCTTTAAAAACTGTGTACCATGCCTGCAGGGACCCCCAGCAACTCGGCCTGGTGCTGCCTGTTCTCCTGGCAGGACTCGAGGCGGGACCGAAGATGTCCATGGCGGCCTCTCTGGCACTCAAGGACCTTGCCAGGGATTGCCGCCAGGCTCTTGTCCCGCACACCCAACCCTTGCTGGAGGCCATCCAGCGACTGCTCTTAACGCAGCAGCTGCGCCCTGCCGAGAGGGTGAGCGCTCACATTTGCAACCTTCAGACTCTCCCAACCACCATGCCTTTACTGTCCAGAGTATGAATTTACCGTCTGCTGTAAGCCTTGAACCCTTTCGATACTTCTCAGCATTCCAAATAAACACGTGCTTCGAGTTCAGAATGCTGTCACGATCAACAGTGTCAAACGTGACAGCACACCGCACCACAAGGTCAGCAGTCTCTTGCTCCTCTTCCGGCCTTTCTAGTATGGCCAGCATGGGCCGTGACAAATCTAGTGGAAGACGCTGGCGGTCACACCGTGACAATCTGTTCACATGCTGGCAAGTACACGCGCTCCTTATTCTTCCTTCTCACATGGTGAAGAGGAGCACTCGGAGTGGAGATGAAAGCCGATGAACTGATTGTAGCGAAGGAAAGTGAAATCGGCAATGGTCACATTTCGATCATCCGACGTGTGCAGCCCCTATATTACGGCACCAATTCGCAAAATTCTTGCGGCTATGTGTTTGCTGTAGACTCCTCCACAACTGCACAACAAAATTACGACTTCTGGGTAACTTAAGGGCCCTTTAATAGCTGCAATCTTGTGCTACTGAGCTTGAGAACGTTTGACTCCCAGTTTCGGCGGGCACGTTTCAACGATGCCAAAATGCAGTCACCTGGTAATGCAAAACTCGGCCGGACTGATGCAGCTGTTCCAACTGTTACAAAGTGTCTGGTTTTGCCCTCTGTCAAATTTTTCGAGAGTGGTATAATTGCAAACACGAAATTTTTTTGGACTAACTCTCATAAAAAAAAAAAGCCGGTGGTGATGCCACTTTGAAATTCCTTCACAGAGCTCTGTGACGTTGTATACTTTGAAGTCTACTATGTCCTACATAGTTCTTGGTCGATAAGCGAAGTACAGCTTATCTGAGGTAGCTGTAGACTTCAAACCTACTTTCAAGAAATTTCATGGAGCCAATGTTGCCAAAATATTACACCCGCTTTGAAATCCACAACGTCATGTGTGGAGATGTCTGTGCGATAATTAAGTCAAATGACCATGACTTTCTCCTCTGATAATGAGCTTGTGATGGTGAAATTAATGGTAGTTTTCAGAGTGCAGTTTATTACTTTATGTAATGCCTCTTTGCATTCTTCATTCTTCTCAGTTCTAACTTCTTTAAAGTAATGTGCTTCATTCTAATGGCCATCTTAAGAGACAAGTTGGAAATCTATGGCTGTAAGTCGACTTGCAGCATGAGGACGCAGACAAGGAGACAGCACATTGCACCGTGTGCCACATTTTTTTCTTGTCTTTGTGTCCTTACACTGTAAGTCTGCTGTCTAATGCCTCTAAGTAGCTCTTTGCAAAAAGAAAACTGCCGGAGGCTGCTTACTATGAGGGTCCCATAAAAAAAAAGTTACTTTACTAGCGTCTTTTGCCCCGTTTTCTCGCACAAGGTCCGCCTGTTAAACCTGGCCGGCCAGTTGCTGGCATCGTGGGAGCTCGCACCTTCCGAAGCTTGGCTTTCCACAGTGCTTGATTACCAGCTACAGCTTCTGCAAGCAGGCACGCCCGCAGTGAGACAGGCATTGCAGGAACTAGCGGCGCTTGTTTCGGGACTGGCAGGCCGCGAGGAACCACCATCGCTGGTCGAGGCAGTCGTCCAGCGAGCCTTGCCTGCACTCGGTGCCATCGCTGCCATGCACGCCAGCGATGAAGGCACCATAGAGGTCGGTACCTCTACTGCTGACATCGTGCTGTACGTGTTTACCTGCATACCTTTTCTTTCCCTGTAATTGTTTTGGGGAATACGAGTGCTTGTACTGGAGCATTTTGGTGGCTCCAAAAAATTAATGTAAGAGCAACTAAGCAATACTGCTAAAATTAGTGGGTCGTTACATGATTCAGAAGGAGCAGGATGACTTGCGTACCTCCTTTTTCTCGTAAATGTTTGAAGTTCTTGAATCCACTACTTTCAAATTCAAAGCACATCAAAACGAGCACAGAAATGTGCTACAGGCAGGAACTCGTGCTTGAAAACGCAGTGGGATTTACAATTAGCCTGAAAGCCTACCATTGCAGGCCAGCATTTCAGTAGACACACGCATCGCTGTCATAAGTGCCGATAACAAAGGGGCGGACGTCTCGTCAGGTTGACCCGTTTTAGTCAAAAAGGCACCTCATCTTCTTTAGCGTGTTAGTCTTCGAGAAATTTGTCAGCAATGTCTTATGACGTGATGTCTCTGTGGGTACTTGCCACATGCAAAAGAAGAAAATTTGGTTTATTAAAAGATTTTTTTTTTTGCATATAAGCACAGAGTGGCATACCATGATGTTTTGTGATGTTGTGAGCTAGGAATTTTATCCCTTGTTGGGCCATGACAGCATGCACAACTCATGAAAGCACGTAAACGGCACATTTGATTATCCCTCTTATGTGTGCCCGCGGCTCACGACTTCATTTTATCTTTGCAGGCTCTCTGCGAGTGTGTGAAACGAGCAGCTGTGGCACTCGAACGGCCCGCAGCTGAGCAACTCCTCTTTCTTTTGGTCCAACTTCAAGAGGCATGTCCCCAGGCAAGTGTTGTGACGCGGTCTACTGCTGTTGTCCCGACGCCCGCTCCTGTGTGTTACACGTTATGCATTGCCTGTGGTTGAATGTCTCTCGACCATCATTACGTCCTTTAGTGATGCTGCTAGCACTCCCAGGGCTTACTTTGAAAGTCACGCTCACAAATACCTAGTGAAGTGGACAAGTGTACAGGTGTTCACAATAATTTGAAGCACCAGAAAGGCTGCTGCCGACCGGCAGAGCTCACCTGTGGAACCATGTAGCCGTGGTGCGCGTGTGCATGGTCTCTCTAGCTTGCAAGGCCCGCTTAGTGCATCTAGACTGGTGTCGCCTTGCACCAAAACACTTTAGTTGCATTAGGTGCATTTTAGCATTGTTAGGAAAGAAGGCCGTATGAGATGTGCGATGTGCTGTCTGTGTGTGTGTGGTCGCATGTGTGAGCAGCTTGCGGCTGAAGTGCTTAGGTGTATTTTATGTTTTGTTCCGCCTGGCACTATTTATCTTTCAGTCATGACTATTCTGACTGGGAAGCATATTTGTGGTGCACCTTTGTGAATACGTTAGAGCTAAGCCTGCCATATTGCTTAGCTCTAAGAGGCACATAACGCTAGCCGTTTGGTGCTGGGCAGTACCATTTTGGATAAACTACGGAGCAAGGATCGATCACTAGAGATGGCACTACGTTTTTCCATTGGCATGCACCGCTGACTGGCACAAGCCTGTTTCGCATTCTGAGTGATTCTGCGACCTCTTGTGCATCTGGCTATACTGTAGCCCTATTGGTGGGGCGTTTCTTTTGCATCGCGGATTTTGTGGATTTGGTTTTCTGTACTCCATTTTCAGCTTGTAAGCCAACGTTGCTGAAGAGATGCAGTGAGCGAAAGGATCGGGCATCTGAAAAAGCCACTGCTGTAGTTCCTTGTGTATAACCAACCCCTGCATATATATATATATATTACCAAAAGCCGTCTTTCTCGCATTACCTTGATGCCAAATTGTGCCCAGAAATTCAAGTTTAACCCACACCTCGACTGTACATAAGAAATGTCTGTATATTTTGTGTGGTTTATACACTATAAAGTGTGGTATTTGTAGGTTTTTATTTCAAATCTGGTTGTTAGAGGATTAAGGAAAGTGAAACTGAGTGAAAAAGTGCTTTGGTGCTAGGGCAAAGCAAGGAATGCAATACACTCGGCGACAACACATCCTCGCAGTGGAGTGAAGGCTGCGGAGGCAGGGCATCTGCACATCAGTGTTACTACTCAACTAGTTGAATAGCTTGCAACAGATTTGAAGTTCAGTTTCGCAGAATTGACAGAACTCACCAATTCGTGCCGATGGCACCTTATTCCAGCATAGAAGTTGCAGATAACTCCCTTGGTCTGTTTTGACTGCTGCTTTCTGTCGCATTTGGAGCATTTCTTTGTCGGAGAACAGAACAGTGAAGTGGCGGCTGACAAGTTCCTGCCGACATCGACGGGACCATGTTTCGCTGCGAGCAGACATGTCGAAAATGTTGTGCTGTCCAAGAAATGAGAGAAAAGGAAAAAGTCCAGTGTATTTTTTCTACCAACGGATTTTCATGCTTGTTTAATTTTTATAGCAACAAAAGCTTTACTTATTCAGGCTATGCAACACTGAAATTGGAAAATGAAAGTGGGTACTATATTTTGGTGCATGTGCAGAAAGGGCTTTGGCTCTGTAGCTTTCACAGTGCTGACAAGAGAAGTTTTCGCTGATTTTAGTGGCAAACTGGAATGTTATAGTACGAAGTGACGCCTGCAGCATACTATCCGGTGTGGAAAAATGTAGGCGCTACTGTGAGCAAAGCAACCTTTGTGTTCTCTATTGCTTCAATGAAAGCAGTGTCGTGAGAGCACGGCAAGTAGTACAAAGTTATGAACTACCTACTGACCTCTGTCCAGAGCAACTGCGCTCAGCGTCTCAAAGTACTCAGTTCCTGCTAGAGCCACACACAGCACTCCCCAGAATGTCCCCACGTGCCTCTCATGGGATGGAAAATGGTTGCCTTCTTTTCTTTCCGCTTGAGCATTGATCCTCGGCTGCCCTTGCATGTTTTCACTCGCCCATAGTAAACTTGATGTGCACATGGATGCTATCGCCATGGAAGTTGATGCAGTACTTCGGGGCAGCTGCGAAAGTGCACGTGGAGGGCTCATACAATCGTTGTTGCAATAGCAAACTTGTTACTAGTGTGGTGCATACCAGTCACCTAATGAATCGGACAGACAGTTAAGCCATATAAAGCATATGAGATGTCAATTTTTGTCTGTAGCTTTAATGTCATGTAAAGTTATTGAAGTGGACAAAGAAATCGCCCTTGCTGGCGCTGCATAGGGTTTCTTGCAGACTTATGAAAACACTCCGTGTTTTGTTATGTCTGAGAGTTCACTAGTGCTAGCACTGCTACTGTGGTTGCAAGTTGCGGAAACGTGTAATTTGATTGAACTTCCAGGTAATGAGTATGCTGTTTCATGAAACTTGTATTCCATTAAATTTAATATATACCTGAGTCTTTCATGTCGCACGTATCTTTACTTATGCGAGCGGAAAATCTCCAGCCTTCGCAGCATTTCCTGCTACTGGGAATGAATTGGAGTAGGAGTGAGAGTTTGTCTTGTGATGTCGTCTACATTTTTTTGGTCTTCGTAATGCTGTATGCCCCCCTCCCACCCCACCATTCCAGTTTCCAAATTTTCTCTCTTCACAGCACACATCTCTGAATGCTTTGACCAGTTCAACCATGTGCTTTTATTTTTGTGTTATTTTTTTCCTAGCAGCCAAGCATCATAATGCTGATTGCTTCAAACCTTGTCTCGTCCCTGCAGGCAAGCGTTGTGGACACATGTCGGCCACTGCTGCTGATGTTATCGATTCCGAGCAACAGGCTGCACCCTTCTGCCGTTCCGGCGCTCGCGAGGATCTGTAATGTGACTTTGATTCCGGCAATGGCATCCTTGGCCAGTGCGTACTGTCCACCTTTTCATATACTCTTTTTAAGGAGAGAGCCTTGGATGGCTCGTCAAATACGAAAAATGACTGTCGGCATCCCTTGGCGTCGGCGTCAGCAGGAGAGGTGCGAAAAATTATTGCGTTATGAAATTGTGACATTGTGCATCGGCTAAAATTTGTGACATCGAAAAATGTGATGTCACATGACATCATCAAATGGCATGGTCACTTCGTCAAAGGCAGGGTACAATAATTGTTTGGGTTTAACATCCCAAAGTTATATGATTATCAGGTGTGTTGTAGTGGAGGGCTTCGTAAACTTGAGTCTACTGTTCCTTAATGTTCATCCAAATTTAAGTACATGAGCCCCTAGCATTTCGCTTGCGTTGAAATACAACCGCCGCGACTGGGATTCAATCCTATGACCTTCATGTCGGCAGTTGAACACTTTAACCACTATACCACTGTGGCGAGCATTGGCCAAAAGTCGGCCGGTCCCAGAGGCAATGCAAAGGTAATGGAGATACTGATAGTTTGCAATACACTTAGACCTCATCGTAACAAAGTTGCATGTTGCACAAAAATAAGTTCATTGTAACCGAAAATTCGGTTGAAAGGTATATTCCTAACACTGTATCTATTGCAAGACTAGTCTACATTTACTTCGTTATAGCAGATGTTCTTGTATATCTTTGTTCGGTATATCGAGCTTTGAGTGTACCTCGATGACTGAAGGCAGTGCATAATTATTTTGGCTGTTGAAAGCCTTCAGAGGGAGGCGGAGAAACATCACTGCGTCGACTGAGAAGGTGGCTTTCACCTGCAAGCCGTAGCGAAAATCTACAAGAGACCGTCAGAGACTTCTTTTTTTTTTCACCGTTGTAATGTCACTGAATTAAATGAGGCTTTACTGTACTGTGAATCAGTCACTGTGACTGTAGGTAATCTCCAAAATAAGTGAGTTTTCAAATTAACGAAGCATACAAAAAGAGGGTTGCAACGAACGTTCAGTCAGGGGGGGTTGGGGGGTGCCGTCTGCTAGTCTGCAGCTCCGAGGGCTGGAAGAAGCCTCGAGGCAATGCCACATGGCGATGCCAGTCAGTTGAAGCAGCTGATGCTGTGGGGAGCACGTCACGTGCTGCTTGCGTGTCACCACTGTTCTGCTGGGAAGTAAGTTTTTTCAACAGGCATGCATATTAGCTGTGCTTCGTCTGCGAATAGTCGACATTGCTGCCTGGAATTTCCTTGCAGCTCTAAAGGGCTGCCATTATTGCAACAACGCGAAGTTCTTTCTTGCAATTCTGTAAGGCGTTGATGTGAAGCCATCTTGCACATTAATATTTATATTACCAGAATCTCTATTTTATTTTCGTTGTTCTTTTCTTTTCTTGCTGGTGAAATGCCGCGGCCGCCAGGCCACTGAAAGAGCTTTTAAGAGTGTTGGTGATAGTTCTCAACTTCGAGGAATTCTCCACCAAGAAGAATGGGCCTTCTGATAGTGCTGGGTGTGTAGTTAATTACAATTCTTTTTACATTCGCTTTGCAGACTTTCAAGAAAGGACAGCCGTTCTGGAGTCTCTTTATCAGTGCCTTGGCTTCGTAAGTATCGAGGACTATAGCTTTGAAGGAATTATAGGTTTTAAATTCTTTTATCTATTGAATTTAAAATGCCATTGCAGCTTGCCCGCAAGGCTGTTTACGTTCTAACACCAGAGGCCGTCAATCTCTCCATGGTGTTCCAGTGTGGTAAGCTGCCTTCTATTCATCACTGTTCTTGCTTACTTTTGACTCCTATGAAACTTCTAACGCTCTGCGTATGATGCACGCTACGTTGGGTTTTGAAACATTGAATTCTGATTCAAGCATGAGGAATGCCCTGGAACACTTCTTCAGAATGGTCAGAAAATACTGCCACTCGATAGTCAAGCCTCCTGGAAACAAGTGAGCGAAAAAAATATAGTGCAGCACATGGTCTAGGATTTACAAATAATTTTCAGTCGGCTAAATATTTACGTAATAGCATTAAAGAGCTTGTTTAGCAGAAATTCCCGTGTCGGCGTCGTTGGTTGTGAGCGAAGAATCATCTTGTGTGTGGCTGAAAACTTGAAAAATGCAAATAAAATAAATAATAAAAAACCCTGGGTCAGAGTGGGTGTTGAACCCTGGTCGTTTGGGTACGAACCCGGGTTGTTTGCGTGGCAAGCAGATGTTCTGCCACACAGCCACGCCGCTGCTTGTGAATTCAGTGAAAATAACTTCCGCTGCTTGAAAATGCAGTGAAAGTAACTTTCATGCTTTACAAACACTCGGGTCCTGTATACAGGCTTTACAACACACCATGAAATATTGTGGTAATAATGCGTGGTACAATTACATTGCCATCGGGCGTCGGAAGATGTGATTATAATGATGATTTCATGGTTTAAAGCCAGTCACCCACTACAAAAAGGCGCACCCACTACTGCGCCTATACCCTTAAGGTCACGTAGTGGGCGCATAGCAAGTTCGAAAAGGTTTAGTGCGCTGTTTAAAGTACGTACTAGGAACAGGATGTTGCCGTCGCTTTCGACTCTTAAAGGCGAAGGTCAAGAGTCCCGCAACTTTTGCTTGCTCTTCTCTCAATGAATGATGCGTTGGGCCCAGTAGACCATGCCATAAACGCGAAGTTCGCGGCCCTTGGCTGATTTGAGCATCATGAGCTGCATAGCTACTGTGTCTAACGCAGGATTCTGGGATGTCCATTCTCTCTCGTGATCCCACTGAAAGTAAGCAGTACGCCCAAAGAAGAGTGTTTAAGGTCATGGCATGCTCTGACAAGATGACAGTTTTTTGCCCCCTTGCGATTTTTTTAAGCGCTCTTGCTGCCACAAAAAGAGAGAGAAAGCTTTGCTTATGGCGTGCAACAAACCTATAATTCCATTCGTATTAGATGGATTCGGAAAATTCTTGCAGCAGTCAGTTCATGAGGCAACGAACCCCCTTTAATGAAGCTATTCACTGATAAACTAAAAAAATGTTTCAGGGTCCTGTCAAGTGTATGTAGCCTTATAGTTGCATATTTTGGGTGCTAGTTTGTTTTCAGATGTATGCAGTTCAATGAGCCTAATAATAATCTTGCCAATTATTATTACGACTTCTACAACATTTTTTCTTTGGTCCGAAATAAAGCTGAGCAAGTTATGTCATATTTTCTCGATCTAAAACTGTGTTTGGGTGATATAGGTCTGAGACAAATTCTAAAAAACAAAGAAAATAGGTTTACCCAATTTACTTTTGTTAAAACGAACTTCCTATATTAGGTTAACGGAAAACGTAATTGCTTGGCATGCAAAAACCTTCGGCTGTACTTGGTTCATCATTATATGAGTTTGTGTTGCATAATCTTCATTCGTACTCCCGCCACGGTGGCCTAGTGGCTAAGGTACTCGGCTGCGGCGGCTGCATTTTCAATAAAGGCAGAAATGCTGTAGATTTAGGTGCATGTTAAAGAACACCAGGTAGTCGAAATTTTCTAGGCCCTCCACTACTTCATCTCTTATAATCATATGGTGATTTTGGGATGTTAAACCTTACATATCAATCACTCAATCATGAATTCTTCATTCGGGCGTTGTACATTTAGGGAAATTTACAAAAATAAATGTGAGCAATGAATCCCGAACAACCGTTTGATGTCTTGTTTGCTGTACAGGAGGACAAAAAATTTACTTATGCTACTGTGATTAAGCTGGACGGTCCATGGCTGGTTTGTCAATCTCTAATGACCATCGTCTGTTAATCAAACATAACTGTCAGAAACGCTTTCAGACTACCCTAAAATGTCTAACCAGAACAAGGAATGCTGGGAATGAGCAGCAAATGAGGAACCCTTTTTTTTTTCTTTCCCCAGTAGCATTTTTTCTGCAAACCACAAAGCATTGCTACTTGCATCTGCTGCAAAGTAATCGGAGCTACTTCCGCCATTTTATCCTGAAGCACTTTTTCTGAAAACAGTAGCCGATAACTGCAGCCCACAACAAACTGGCAACTGAGGTTTGCATCTTTTGAAACCTGTTGGTTTCATTTGGTACTTGTCGAAGGAGCATAAAAAATTCACTTGATGCATATATGGCCGGCAAATTATTATGGTCTGAGCGGTCTTGTTCAATTGTTGTTGACTGTTTCTCTTGCCTATATTGCCGCCCTCCATGTCTTCAACTACGTTGTTGTTGTAGCCTTTGTTGCATGGATATTGACATTGCTCCCCACCTTCTTTTCTATTCAAGCTATTCTGGCCATTGGACTTCCCGAGAAAGGAACAGTCAAGGCAGCTGCATTTTTCCTGGTAAGGAAAACGTCATGCTCTCGCTCCTTCGACACTGTTGCCGCATCAACCCCTGTACACAGAACCTAAAGGAGCCTTGCAACACTTTTTCAAGTAGCCATGGAAGGGATTCAGTAAAAGAGCTCAGTGTGTCACGAATTTGCCGCTGCAAAAATTTTCCGTATCCGACCAATACGAGCGGAGTTACAAAGATTTGTCGCACACTGCTGTTACAATCTCTCTTCTCTTGTCCCAATGAAAGTGCTCAAAGCTAAACAGGGAGAGATGGCATGGGGAGAAAAATGCATCACGTGCATCTCGCGACCTTGAGCACTTTTTCTTCAAATGTGCGGCTTTTCAGTGTGATCGTGCATGCACGCAATGATAAGTCGCAGCCTCCCGTGGTGGTCCCAGTGATGACAGAGCGCGCCATGCTCAAATCAGCCAGTGGCCGATACTGAGCCTGGGACATAGTTATTTTGAGCCTGCAGTGTCATTTCTCGAGACAAGGGAGAGATTTTTCGCCGGTTTTGGGAATTGTAAATTCCTGGCCGCGTGCTGCACTATAATATTTGGAACACATGTCCTTGGAAGCCTCGTCTCCCTATTGGTAGTGTTTCCTGACCATGCTCAAAAAGTGTTGTAGGGCCTCTTTAAGTGACATGGGAAACTGCAAGCAACTGTGGTCATAAGGCATGTTGTTGGAAGTCATCATCAACATCAGGTGATGCTTTTTCTATTTGCAGGCTGAAGTTATCCAGCAGAGCGTGCAGCATGACACACTTGTACAGCTTGCAGAAGTGGTGGACACTTACCGGATGCTCATTCTGGAGAGGTGCTTCCTAGTGAGTTTGTTTTTAAGCATGCATTTATTTTGTGCGGGTTAATTATGGCTTAGTGCTGGCTGTTCTTTCTGAGCGTTAGCACAGCCAACAGCGTAGAAGACAGTGTAGTTGCTATAAGGAAGGAAGTGCAGTTAAAAAGACACATTGATTTGGGGGTGTTCGTGTGCACACACCAAGATACTGCATTGCAAGCGAAAATATGGCTGTAAATAACAATACTTGAATATGAACCCAGAAACACTTTCCTAAGTAATTGTCGAATAACTTCGCTATATTAGGAGTTTGTTTCCTTATGCATACTTGTCGAGTCTCGCGGATTTTCCGGGCGACTCCTGGATTTTGACGAGTTCTTACATTTGTATTGTTGTCAGGGAAATCTCCCGGAAATCGAAATTTCTGTGCGTGATCTAGCACAGATCTGGTAGATTAAAAAGACAGAAAAAAGGCTAGAAGGGTTGTGGCATCCCTGTCCAATGAATCTACTGTTGTTCCTGTTGATCTGCGTAATTCAGTTTTCTGTTTGCCTCAAGCAAAAATTCGACCCGTGTCTTCTCGGCGGCCGGCTGCGCCGTCCCATCCCATCAGGTGCATTCACGTGTCTCAGGAAGACATGTGCGAGCTCTATCGATGGAAACAGGTCTTGCTAGTTGTTTTCATGACGCAAAATTTCGGAAGGTACGAGTATTTTTGTTGCCATTTGGACTCGCACCTTGTACTGTAGTTGGGAAAGCCTACCCTCAAGCGTTCGGTACTTTAAGCCGTTAAAGACCGCAATGCCGCCGTTTATGGACACACCTTTCCACTTGTTTTCTTGCGTTGTTGTTTTTATGGTGCAATAAAAGGGGGAGGGGGAATAAATTGGTGCTACCCCTCCTCCTGTCGCTGAAATCTTCCGGATTTACTATCTGTGAACTTGGCAGGCATGCTTATAAATCAATTTCTCCAAACAATTTTTGAGCCAGTCAAGTAGGCGCAGTTGCAGGGATTTGTCACACACTTCAAGCGTTTTCTCTCTTCTTTTGTCACAATGAGCGTGCTGGAACCTACAAGGGACGGGAAGTGACATGAGGGCAGGAAGCAATGGTAGCATACATCAGGACCTTGAGCTCTTCTCTTTTTTGCCTTTTCCGATGCGTTGGCTCATCACCGGATTGTCATGTACAAGAGGGACTCATAAGCTGGCATATTGACTCAGAATTTCAATTTGAAAGCGCTACCTCTAAACTACTTCCAGTGCTTCTTCCGAGCATTGTTCCTTCCTAGCATATACCAGTCTTGTGCATGACTAACTCAAAGTGAGGCAATGCATTCAAAAAGGCCAAGAACTGAAACTACTTCAACCTTTATTTTGCCATAGAGTGTGTAGTGCAGGGAAGCGTGGAGCCGATACTGGACATCCTGCTTCACACAAGCGAGCAAGAACTTCCTAATGGGGCTTCAAAGTGCCACTCACTGGACCCCATAACAAATTTTAGTTGGACCGTGTCAGTTGTGTGTCCGATGAAGAGCATTATGCCACAAAATATTTTTCAATCGGTTCATTACGAGCTGAAAAAACTGGTATTTGAAGGGCCGCTAAAAGACGATGCCAAAAGGCGAGCTCAAAACCCTTGCCGATCGGCCCGCACAGCCTTCGGAAGCCAAATCTCTTCCCTGCCCTCTCCGACATCTGAACAAGAGGTCGTGAGCACATGATGTACCCGAGCAAGCCCAACCCCCAAGCAAGCAAGTGGCGTTATATTGCAGTCTACTCTCTGTTTCTGCGGGATGGATGCATCAGTGCGCGCTCGTTTGGAAACACTGGCTTAGATGCAGTAGAATAGATAAGCACATACAGTACTCAAACGCGCAGGACTATTAGTTTCTTTTTCAATGCGGGCGTCTGCTCGATGTGCTAACCGCGGAGACACGAATGCATGCGAAACGCAGACACATGAGCCATGACACATTGCAATTCACGGGAAAAAATGAAAAGGAGCACACATTCCCTTTGTGTGTCTCAGTATTGATCTCAAGTTTTAATTATCTATTCAAGCGACAAATAACACAAATTACACATGTGAGAAATAATTTTCGTCATGTCGCGTGTTATCGTTGTGGACATCAGAGGACAATCTTCTACGTAGAGGACCGACGTTTCAGCACTACAGTCCACGTAGGGCGATTCCCTCGTCTACGTCATCCCCTCAATCTCGGGATGGGCACCTGTGAAAAGAAGGGAAAGCAGCGCTCATCTTGGAATTTGACCCATTTTTGCGGCTTGTAGTAGTGCGAGTTTTGGCAGTCATGATCGTGATTGACTCATGTATGCAATGCTCTCGTCAGCTCAAAATTGTGAAAGCTGGTGAGAGGCCTTTTAAAGGGGCCCTGCGGCACATTTTAGCCTTGTAAGGAAACACTGCTGATCAGTTGTTGAGGCACCTGAGAACATGCGAGTCCAAACATTATCGAGCAGCACGTGACCTGGAGTACACTAAAGATGATCCCATATACCAAAATTTATTTCCATTGGCTAACATCGTGACCTGCATAGTTGCAGTGGCCACGCGCACACATGGGCGCTCGCCATCACTGATAATAAGCTGCCGGTCTAAAGCAGAAAAAAAAATCAATGGTTACGATACTGCTCAATGGGAATTTCGAGCGCAGCTTCGTGTTGTGGCAGCGCCAACTCTGCTTAAGGTTTTGGCTTTCTTCAGTCATAGCAGTATAGCATCGTTTACGTATTTACACAGAAACTGCCAGTGCTTGAGTGCTGCGTGTTCGCTCTACCAGCAATGTCAACGCAATATCGAGCACCAAGGAGCTGCATTCTAAAACGCCCGAGCATGGTCTCATCGATAGCTGGAAGAGCGGCCTTTCTAGAGCACATTCTGAACTCTCTCAGGGCAAGTGATACAAGTGCACATGGAAGGTATCCACTATGCCATTACTCATTCATCTTTCTGTGGATAAGCGGGATGCCCGCTGCACATTTGTAAGGTAATATGTAAACTTTGTTGATGCTGCATGTGGCTGAAGATGAGGAATTGGGGCTGAGCATTTTGCAGCAGGTTGAAAGCATTAAACCACATGCTTTGAAAATAGCATTCTGTGATGTCGCTCTTCTGCCACACTATATTGTAGGTTAATGCAATTCCTTGCCCCTCATGACGCCTCTATAGGTTCTTCTTGCAAATGAATTTCAAGCACCAGTGTGGCTCTCTTGTAGAATTTTCGACCACCATGCAAAAGGGCCTGGGTTTGTAGCCCATTTGATCCTAGGTATTTCTTTTAATTTTATTTTTTGGGTTGGTCACTTACGCTTTTGAGGGTGGTTCCACTCAATAAAGGGAAGATCTGCTCTCTAAGAAGTGCTCAAGGTCCTAGTGCACATGTAGCGTAACTTCTTTTCCCTGTACCATCTGTCCCTTCTTAGCTTTCAGCATGCTTGTTGGGACGACAGAAGAGAGGGAGCAGTTTCGGCGTACGACAAATCAGACTTCTTTCGTATTTTTAATGGATTCTGAAAATCTTTGCTGCGGTCGTTTTGTCGGGCAATGAATTTTCTTGCTGAAGCCATTTGATGGCTACTTGGAAAAGTGTTGCTGGGCCTCCCTTTTTAAGGAAAAAGATTGGGGCTGCTACGCACTGGGGGTGCGAAGACTGAGAAAAAAAACGGAAATGGTGGCCTCCACTCCCCCTCGCCCTCATTTTTCTTTCCCATTTTCTTGTCATATACTACGCTATACAAGGCCATGCGACGATTTACCCTCACCCCTCCTGTTTTCCTTCCAATTCACCTTCAATTGCTTTCCTACCCCCTGGCTTTGCTATGCTACCCATGGCCACATTATGCTAGAAACTGCTTGGCACGTGCCCACTTCCTGTAACGCATATCCGCCGAGTTTCGTGGAAAAGCTACACAGATGTACCTCAAGCTTAGGCAGCTCTGCTGTCGAGGGTGCCAGGAACACAAAAGTGCTTCCTGTTGTGTCAACCCAGGTGGTCGGTGGCGGCCAGTCGCCACGGTCGGCAGTGGAACCCATGGCAGACGTGGTTCTGGCACTGACCAAGCAAAACCTGCAGGCTACCAGCCACTGCGTCTCTGAACTGCTCTTGCGGCCGGGTTTCCCGAGTCCGCAGCTGACCCACGATCACCGAGTGCGCTACATCCGCCTGCTTCTCAAGTGAGCTCACTTCCGTAACGGTTGCGGTTGTTTGTTTGGAGAAGGGTTTTACACTCGTGACAGAATGTACATGTACCGGGAGAGCTTCAAAGGTACCAGTAGGTATAGCGAGAACCTACTGGAGTGTAGCCACTATGCATATTTAATATCGAATGGGCTGTTTTCGCAAAGACTGCAGCTCTGCATTGGGCTGCGTAATTTTAACAAGGTGTAAAATATGTTAACGAGTATATGTGAGCAGGGCAAAAAAGCCCTTCTTGCAAAATACATGTGAGCGTGAGAGATCACTTTGTCGGAAAGTCTCTAGATATACTATTTGCTCACCTTGCTGATTCCTTCCTTTCTGAAGTCTGTGCGACTTTTCGGGGAGACAGTGAAGCATCGCATTGTATTCGTCGAAGATTTTTGGCTAAGTTTAGTGGCCTATGTCTATTTTTATCCGAAAAGAAATTTGTCTAGATTCAAAAAATTGAAGATTTACTGAAGAAATAATTAGAAGAGCACCCAAGCACTTTGAGTAGCTCCTTTGGTTTAGGCACCATTGTAACATTGAGTTGTTTCTTGTCTTTGCACATTCTGGCCAGTGCTCACGGAGAGATAATAGATAACTGTTGTATAAGACAGCAAAAGGTAGGTGAGTAGATAAATATGACAAATGAGTAACTTAAACCATGATCGCTCAATGATTTCAAAGTGTTCTTGGCCCCACTGCTAGAGTGTGCAAGGCAGAACCACACCAATTTGTGGGAAAACAAAGTCGAAAGATGATGTTTTAGTTAGCCTGAACTTGTTCCTATTTCAGTCGTCCGAGACTGTAAAGGGCTCGCTGATCAAAACTGCGCACAACTTGGATGGCTTGCCTGCAGTGTGGGTTATGGGTAGGGCCCAGTGTTTTTGGATAAATACGAAAAAAATCCGATGAAACACTCGCCGGAAAACTTCTTGACAATTTGGATTTATCTGATAAGTTCAGATTTTAAAAAGGCATTTCCAATGTTCAAAAGGCATTTTCATAGCTGGCAATCTTCAATCGAAAGATGTGCACCTCTATCAGCGGCAGCAGCCTCGTAAAGTGTGCTTGCATCTATTGCACCAAGCTTCAAGGTTGTAATATGAACAAATGTATGTGTTTTGAATTCAAGTATTTGCTCTTGTATGTATGTGTTTGTGCATTCAAACTGTTAATTGGATATCATTTCACTTAAAATTTTAGAATATGAAGAACGGTAATAATAATTGGTCCATTATTTTTCATCAAGATGAGGGAGACTTGGGGAAAAAACTGAAAATTAGCAGGCCTATTTCCTGCTCCTCCCAAAAGTGCATTTCGGTGAGTTGACAGCAGTGCTTATCAACAGCCTTATCAACGGTGTAAATGAACAGGAAGTGAAATAAAAAAATGAGATGGTAAAACAGGATTATCAGTAACAATGCAATGTATTTTCATTAGAGATATCAATTAATAAGAAAAGATTGCAACAACTTATAATGTAAAATTAAACACTGAATTTGGGAGAATTGGAGAATCGGGAGAAATAAACTCCTATAAACACTCTCCGAATTTCAAGAAAAAAAAACTCTGCCAAACACGGCGCCCTAATTGTGCGGAAGGTTAGTGTGTTAGTGACTCATGGTGCCTGCATTCGGTATACATTCGAACCCCTTTATAAGAGACACTGATATAGGAGACACCTCTGTGCCTACAGTAAAATATGAGTTTATAAGAAACTACATATGAGGCACCATGCTTATAAGAGACATCTCATATTAAAGGCAGAAAATGCTGTTCGAAGCTTGCCTCTTATAAACGGGTTTAACTGTACACCCATTCAGTCTGTTGTTCTTGAAGGCGCCGGCACAGCGCTGCTAGCCGCGACTTCGAAATAGTACACTCGCGTGCCGGATTGTGCAAGGCGGCTGGAACTGGCGGGCGTGTCTTACGAAGGATGGCAGCACTCTGCAGGAGCCACGTATGGAACGCTTGTTTGTCGGATGCAGTCCCCATGCTTCCCAAACTCTCTCATCTTTGCAGTCAACCTCTCAACTAACAGCCACGTGACGTGCACTTTGACGTGCAGGGTTTCTTTCCCTTAAAGGGGAAGAAACCACCGGCCTTTGAAAAATTCAGACTGACGTATTCCGACATCTACTGAAGTTACACGCGATACGTCAGACGCTTCACCCGGCCGTGTGTTCATGGGTGTGTGTGTGTGTTTGTGTGTGTTTGTTAGGTAGACTCTCTACGACATCTTTTGGAGGTGCGGTAGCAAGCCAAGCAACTTAGCCAGATTTCTCAGCAAACCATTAACACATAGTATGGAGCAGTGGGAGGCACAACTCACCACCTGGGACCCAGGAGTGCAGCCCGCACTCCTGGATCAAGTCTGGCGGGTGGCTAAGGCCAGAGGAGCTGGGATATAGGGCCCCAACGATAGCTCTGAAATCCCGCTTTCTTTTTTAATTTCAGTAAAGTTTCACTCGCAGTTTCCATTGCCGAGCGCTGTACATCACTCAACTTCTCCCTTTCTCCTCAAAAATGCAGAGAGAGGACCAATAAGCGCATCATCAAGGAGGCACTCGTGGAGATGTGCCTTGTGTGCAGAGGAATCGTTGGCACAGAGTACGCAGCCCAGACGACGCAGCACTTCCCATAGGCTACTTGACAATCTCTGCGACGGGGAACATTCGTAGGGCATGTTGGTTGATCCGTGCTCAACGGAAAAAGGATCTGCACATAAAAGCATCAAATGCACAGGAAAGATGCGTGGAAGCACAAGGTGTAGTGCAGGCTCAGGATTTTAATGAAAAGAAAATTAAGGGAGGGGATCCCATTTCAGAAACGTGCGTTTCATTTCTGAGGAGAGTTTCACAATTATCATTGAGTATGTATATATTTTTGTGCAAACTCAGACACGCAATTTTTTTTTCTTGCACAACATGTAGTTTCAAAGTATCAAACTTGTTGTCCTGCAGGAGAGCTTTTTTTTTTTTCGTAAAGTCTGAATAGCTAAGAAAATAACCATATCAGAAGTCCAGAATTAAACCTGTACGCTTTGAAACAAGAATAGATCTTCTAAGCAGATTTAAATGTAAGTTGTCGAAATTTTGTGATTGAATCGGAAGAAATCTCACTCGTAAAAGTTCTACATGGGGTAATTAATTTTTGTGCAAGTGAGCTTAAAATATCTACCCTTGTTTTACTGCATGGTTTTCATACCAGTTTATCCCGATATGTTGATTGACTTTGTAACTCTCGCAGATAAGAAAAGAATTACGTTCCTCTAAGACATGAAACTTGAAACTCTAAAACTACACATCGCACTTGAAGAACGATCGCGTGTTTGAAACAAGTCCGTGAAAAATGCATAACCTGTGAAAGGTTCTCAAAAATAAAATTAATTTGCAGGTTCTTTTTTACAATATGACTCAAAGCCAATAGCATGAGCATTTTTTTTTTATCATGGACAAAGAATTGTGTCTGCATAGTTGTATTTGACAGGTTCACTCATCACATTCTCAACTGAGTGATGTGTAGCAATTATGGTGTTTTTTACGTAGACTCGCTGTAAATTGAAGTCTTTTTAGGGGAGATGCGATTTGAAAAAAGAAATAATACTAATTCTTTATTGTGTAGCCTAGGGCAATGAAATTTTTGCTGTTTATATTGCCTATTATGCTGATTTTAAATATGTGATTAGTTTTATAGTGAGTTGCACAGTTTTCGCTTTGTGCCATGACAATGTGTAAAGTATAGTCCATATTACAGTCTTCTTATGCCACTAACTTTTTTCGGTTCTGAGCCATTAACAGCTCACATTGCTCCTGACTGTAGGATGCAAATAACTATCAATAAAGTGTTTATAAGACATATTAATGGACAAGAAGAATTGTGATGTGGGAATTTTTAGAATCTCCAGCCCACGCTAATTGATTGCGTTGGGTTTTTAATAACTATACAGGTGATACAAAAAAATTTAAGCTAAATACTCGCACCCTTCATATGTTAAGGAATGTGTGAGTGAAATTTCATCTCGATTGGGCTATCAGAAGTACCAAAAACATGATGTTGAAACTCAATACGTGACCCGAAAATTGTTTTTGAGAAAAGTGAATTTGAGACGTACAAGTGAAAGCTAATCTATGCGGAAGAGATGTGCGTTTTAAGACGATTGCTTCCATCATGAGATGCATGTGACTTGAGGGAAGTCCTCATGCAAGATGCAATGGCAAGCAGCCAGGTTACCATTTCCAGAGGACTTTAGAGAGTGAGCTCTCTATATTCTTTAGTACCCACCTTGTGCTCTTTTAAAGCGATTTTTAACCTACTTTGAGTTTAATTATATTCTTCAATTTTTTTGTTGTGAAAGTAGAGAAACTAAACTTATGAAAGCACATAAGAATGAGAAATAAGTAATTCTGGAAAAAAACTTGCGACTATTCGACTCGCATCTCCCCTTAAATGGAACTGCCCCCAATACCTTGTACTTGAAATAATTTTTTTTCATCTCTCACGAAATGAAACTTCCTTTAAACTTTTCTGAGTCTGGCAATTAGTCTGCCGTGTATTCACTAGCCAACAAGTCTATCAATAGCTAAAACCAAACACAGCACAAAATAAAGGGAAACAATGTTTTGTTTTGTAATGGTTTGCCAACACGCCTAACATTTCACGTTAAAGCATTGGTCAGCTTGCACTACGTGCTGTCATTACGCGCCTTTCCTGTGTATTTTTGCACACAAACTGTTCAGTCTGTGATATCACACTTCAAACAGTGCACCTTTTATTTATGGAGGTGTGCAAACATTTCTCGTGAGAACAGTCGGTGTGGCACTGAGGTCTAGTACTCACCGTTGTATTAGTCATAGCTGTAAAAGATCTCAGCCACGTGTCATTTAATCAAACTCTTCCGTGTGAAGTTATATGCGTTCGAGTGTGTGTGTTTAAAAAGCAATAACAAGGCTACCCATGCTCTGTGTGCATTGCCAAACTCGTCTATTGGCTGTTTGTAAGCGATCCACCTTGAATTTAATGTTCCCCTGGCGTGCGTTTCACTGCAAGTTCAGTTACTGCATGTCAGTGCTGTGCTACTGTCAATTTTCGAGCTACCGTAACTTTGCAGTCAAATACATTAGCTTGACGCTGATGGCTGAAGGAAGTTTTGAGTACTTTGACGTCAGGTGTACTAAAAGATAAGTGCTGAAATACAGATATAAGTAAAGCTGCTCTCTTCTTTATGTTGTCAGCTTTAGTGCCCTGCAGCGTAGCAAATGCGAGTACTACTAGTAGTACTCGCCTACAATTACGTATTCCTGAAGGTGTGTACTAATAAAAGCATACTACTCTAGCAATACCCTGCAGCAAGCAGACGCAGTCACAGGAAGTGGACGAGCCCGATAAATGATTCTGTAGCTTGTGTGCGATTTAACGTGGCTCTGCCCTGCTCGAAAAGCTTGATTTTAAGGGCTCCGCTTTGTTCGAAAGTAAAGCAGCATTACTTTATTCACTACCCTTCAGCCTCTTGAAATTCGTGAAAATTGCGTCGTTTTGAAAAGAGTTTATGAATACGTTGGAGCATTTTTATACTTTAGTAACAGGGTCAGTTACGTCTCTTTTCTTTTTTTTCTTACTCTGCTGGTAGGTTCTCCAGCAGTTGACAAGGGAAGAGAGTGTTGTTTGGTTGTTTTGTGATTAGCGCTGTGGACCTAACGCAAGTGCTGTGATGCAGGCATGCCTGGCAGCTTCGAGGAGTGTGGTTCAAACACGAGCAACTTGTCATTGTCATTAGGTTAGCGTCGGTGTTGTTGAAAATTTGGTGTACGTTCTTTTTCTTATTCGGTGGGTGCTTGTTACTGCTGTATCACATAGCCCGAGTCTGTACAGTTTTTGTCGATTGCGTGCCGTACGTGCTTTTTTCCATTTGTTTTGTACAGATGACATCTTTTTCAAGAATCTACGAGCGGCAGCTCTGTTGACCATGTTTACTTGTACAGGTTATAAAGATGTTTGCAACTGAAAACAAAAACCTCGTCTCTGCATTTTTCATATTTCCTTTCATCGTGAGGCAAACCAATGTGCAGCGGGAAAAGAAACTCAAACAGCCCATTGCACTGTTTTCATAACACTCTGCCTTTGATTGCGATAAAAAGATGCTAAAGTAGTTCTTCATTGTATCATGGATGACTTTATTGGCATCTCATTACCATCCAGGCTACAGCCGCTTCAAGAGAACTGTATACCAGCCGAAACTGTAGATGCCACCCCGTTTGAGTTTCTTTCGATCACTATACTGCATGGCATGTGCGGCATTCTATTTGAAGTTTCATACAGTATCTAAACTATTTATATATTCCAGATCAATTTTTTTTAAACACTCTTCACTTCCATGCATTATCCCTGTATTTCAGTTGGTACCATGATTGAAATACACTCAAACCTCGATATAACGAATCCAGATAAAACGAATTATTGGTTATTACAATGTAAATGAAAATAATCTTGCAATAGTGCTAGGAATAAATCTCTATAACGAATATCCGGATTTATCGAACTTATTTTTCTGCAAGATGCAACATTGTTCTCTCCCATGTTCCGACGTTTGAGTGTGGTACTACAATTGTACACTGTCGTTCTTTATGAAAGGGAACACGCGAACGTGTGGCCTGCGCTCTGCGACGGCTGCCTACAGCGCCATGAACCGACAAGTGAAGAAAGCAAGTTCGCTTTTGGCGTCATCTATGGCCAGGCAAGATAACACTAGTCGTGGGCGGTAGACAAGCACTGCTAAATTACGTTCCCTCCTCACTTACGTTACTACTTACTAAATTACGTTCCGTCCTCAGCTAAATTACGTTCCCTCCTCAGCCTGCCAGGCAGCAACTGGGCGTGAGTACGCCCAGTTGCTGCCTGGCAGGCTGCTCAACACCTTTGATGGCTGAGGCAGCAACTGGGCGTACTCACGGAAGTGAGGTAGAAGCAGGTCCTGAACCCACTGCTCAAGGTGTTTGATAAGCAAAGAAGGGAAGAACAGAAGCGCATTGTGGTGCTACAGGACGCATACAATCCAGCAGAAATCGAGAGATGCCTTCGGAAGGGACCAAAGTTTGCCGTTCCGCCTCGCATTTCTTCCCATGAACTTGTTGGACTAAGCAGGGACTTGTCTGTGAAGGCCAATCAAGACCGGGACAAATGCCTACAAGGTGGTATGAACTGTTTATCGAAATGTGCACCGCAGAATCAAGATAGACCTAAAGTTAAAGGCTTGAATAACATCGTGCCGTTTCTTAAAAACCACAAATTAATGTTAATGCTAGCCGACAAAGAAGGTTGCTTTGTGGTTATGCCTGAGGGAGCGTACAAAGAAAAAGCTTTAGCGGCTATCAAGAAGAACTTCCGCCCAGTTAAGTGAGCGCTGTGTGTGTTTGATGCATTGGTGTGTGCGTGTGTGAGTGATCGCGTCGTGTTTTCGCGCTCGAATTTAACTTTTAGAAATGCTAGAATACTAGTCTGTACTAGATTTATTAATGTCTATTTATAACAAACTGGTCATATAGGTTCTTGCAGCTACCTGTTTCGAAGGGAATACTTGTATCAATAGAAGCTTTCATTAGAAGTAGTATGCACTACTGTGTATAAAGCTATATCACTATTTGCGGCCATGAAAAATTTGTTATGTGTGGAATAGTGTACAACACGCTGCACATCTATAGCAGCTATAAGTCTGGAAGAAAGAGGCGTGACCGGAGGCTTCAATATTTGAGGGCAGTGTGGCAAACCTAAACTAGCCATGCAGACTAGAAAAATTTTTGTGGTGCAAAAGAAGAGGCAATGCTCAATGCACAAAAGTTAGTTGCTGCTACGACCAATGTCACTGCATATGCGGAAATATTTAAATGCGCAAAGAAAGTTTTCAAGGACCTTGGTGGCATTTGCTACTGCTCGTTTTCAATGAGAATGCTTTGTACAACTTCATATGGTGATGCATTTGATTTAATGATACCTTTTTCTGCAGTGACCATATTTAATGTATAACAATTTAGATCTGGGTTTCTGTGTGCCAGATATATTAGATATAAACCCCCACCCCTCCAAAAAAATCTGTCCCATGAATTGCCACACTGGAACATTACAAAGCCGATCTAATCGCTGTCTCGTAATAGCGGGAGATCCTATTATATAAGCGATATGCCTTAAAAATGAGGCGTTCGAGGAAAATGCGCTGTTTATTTGTGCAATGAAAAAACCCTCAGTGCATCACTGCATCTTCTCCTCTTCGTACTTGTAGTACAAGCCCTTGCAGTCTTCCTCACTGATGCACTCCCAGCCGGTTTCTTTGACGCGATACACGCGCACAATGCCACCACTGGCGGAGTCCCTGAAGGTGGCATGGAAAATGGCTTTTCGGCCCAGCTCGAAGGCGTCCTCGTCCGACATGTCGTAGCTGTATCCGTTGTCGAGAATGCCGTACGCGTACGTCGATCCGGAACCGCACGAGTAGAGATTGCCCGAAAGCCGGTTTCCTTCGTTGTCCACGTAGTAGAGGCCGGGTCCACTCTTGTCCCATCCGCAGATCATGACGCCCAGCGAGAGGCCCATGCCCTTGTAGTTGTAAAGTATGTTGGCCAGAAGCTTGGACGCAGCTGCCACGGAGATCCGTTCCCGGTTTCGGAGCTCGTAGATGCGGCACCGTTCGGCTAGGACGCGCTGCCAGTAGACGCAGTCCGCAGCCCCGCCGGCCATGGTTCCCAGCATGTATTTGTTGATCACGATTATCTTCCTCACCGTCTGTGAGCCGATGTATTCGCCCCCCGTGGCCCGCGAGTCGGCCGCCACGATGACTCCGCCCCTGTACTTGAACGCCAGCGTTGTCGTACCTTTGTCGAAGCGGATCTTGATCTGCTTACCGGCGTCGTCTTTCAGCAGCGCTGCCATCCCTTCCTTGGGATTCGCAAACGGCGGCAAGGCCAGCTGCGTGTGGCACTTGAGGTTGGATCCGAATGCGTCGTCGAAGGCGAGAAGGTCCTGATGGTCGAGTGAAGCTTTGCCATATCCGGCGCGCAGATCCAACTTGACGAGGTCTTCGAGAGCCATGATTCAACAGAAACGATGGGAACTGAAATTTGGCTCAACGTTGTTAATCGCGCGAGGCACCAAAATTTCCCAAGGTTGCCAGGCTTGAAATGAAAGTCGCCAAAGTACTTAAAACGCCGGTTCACTGCATTTGTGCTACAGGTGCTGAAAAAGCGACTGCTCTCCATAAATTCCTTGCAAAGATTGCTACTCGCGGAGAGAGCAAAACTTTATTTGTGTGATTCATTACTAGGGTGAAAGATGAAACTCGTGGTGGGCTCTAAAATGCGCGAACTCTCTTTAAAGGGTAAACTATATACCTAGCAAAACGAGTATTTGCGGAGTAATATTTAGCGCACACTTTAAATCGAGTGAAAAGGTGTCTTTTTGCCACAACAATGATGGTCATCTAGCTGGCTTTCTTGCGCCAATTTTCTTTTTGAAAACACGGCGCTGGCCACTTTCCTATCATGAACGCATATTGTTTGTGACCTGAAAGTACCGGGTACGCGACAGCGGCGGAGGCAAAAAATTTTTTCGGGGGAAGGGGGTCACCCCCTTGAAGTGGTCAATGTTCACCCTGCATGCTGTGGTGAATAAAATTTTGAAGGGGGACACGGACCCCGTGTGCCACCCCCCCCCCTCCCGACTACGCTACTAACGGGTGCTGATAATGCAGGAAAAGGAACACAAGATGACAGTTGTGTTGAAACAACAACAACAAAACGCCCTCTTCACCCGATTTTTTCTTTGAGTGTACTTTAGCGGAGCTCTAGTGCACCAGATCAAAGCCGTCACCTAAAGAAACTTTGGTGTCGTTGACCAGATGCTGCCAGACCCTCCTCACAAAACCGATTTGATTGTAAGAAGAGAGCATTGAAAAAGAAATTGGCGTTCGAGATTTTCTAAACACGTTTTCATGCCATGCACAGTCCGGAATTTCGGAGATAACGTTGCAGGTTTGGTTCTCTGCAATTTCATTAAAATATAATAGCACAGAAAGCCGGGTGAGTTGGCTTGAGGACATTATGGGAAACATTTCAAATGTTTGTCTTCTCGATTTTAGTTTTTACAGCGAAAGCTGTTTAGAGATCACTTTTTGGGTCACGCGCAGTTGTCCGCCACTGGTGTCTGTAACCACATCACGCGAAATTAGAAAAAAAAAAAAACCTTGCACCAATGACACAGTGGGGCTTGAACCCGGGCACACTGGGTGCCAGGCCAATATTCCACCACTGAGTTACGCCGCAGCTTATAACTTGTTGTCAAACTTGCCTTAGGCAGGCTTGATGTCGGGAAAGCCATCTCGTAAATACGACTTGTAAGGCGTTTTACAACAGTGAAAGAACAACCAGTCGTCGCACAATGCGATTAGTGTAACGAGTGGACCGTCCAATGCTCCAAACCATCACAAAAGCTTGTTCTTGTTTCCCTATTAACTTCGGCCATAATTCCTCATCATCGTCAGCCACTGTAAGGACAATTGGCATAAAATTTCTTGCAAGTGTTTAGTGGATGCCACGCTTCTCAAAAGAATGATGAAAAATAGCATAGCGAATGCTGGCCTACTGCCTAACGGTTTATTATTATTGCCCTAGAGGGTACCAAGAAAATGAGTGTTTGAAAAGGCCGCTTTTCTAGCTTTCGCTGTGACTGTGCTGCGCCTACTGCGCAGGCCTGGCGTTTTTTTTTTTTTTCTTTTTCGTGTTTTGTGGGCGTGTTGTAACGTTTCCAATAATGTCTCTTGAAATACTTTTTTCTTTTCAAGCAAGGAAAGGGGACGATGTTTAGATTTCCCAAGCAAGAATTTATTTACCTGTGCAGACTGAAATAGTTCACACATTGGTTTCAAGAGTTCCTCTATCCAATGTAAAAAAAAAGAGAGAAGCAGACGTAGCAACACAGCTATACACTACAATTTATCATACTATTTGAGAAATTTCGGACATAAAACGGCACCAGCCACTACAATATTTATGCATTATATACCATCCTCCTAAACACCTGGAAATCGTGGTTGCAGGAAAACTAAATAAATAATACTAAAAACAAACCACCGGAGATTTAACTCAGTTATGGTCTTTATTTTTAGGCACACTTCTGGTGTAATTCAACAACACAAAAGTTGATCACTTACACGTCACGGTGGTCTAGTGTTTGAGGGGCTCATCTGTAGACCCAAAGGACAGAGGATAGAATCCTGGCCATGCTGGCCACATTTTAAAGGAGGTGACATGCCCGAGGCTCGTGCGCTTAGATTCATGTGCCCGCTAAAGAATCCCCAGGCTTGAAAATTTCTGGAGCTCTCCACTACAGCGTCCCTCACGATTATATTGTGATTTTGGGACGTGACACCCCCAAAAATTATTGTTTATTTTGCTGCAACGAAATGTAGGGATTATGTACAAATGTCATTCACACATCATAAATATACATACAAATGCACATTTTAATGGTTATCCCAGTCACTGGCTAACACTGAAGGGAGACACTGCCCTAAAACATAAGGGAAGGTGGCATTTTCTTTTTTCTAAGACATATATTATACCTCCCAGGGAGTAATACTGAGAATGCATGCACTTTCCCTGTATTTGGCACACTGTATTAAGAAAATAGGAGCACAAGTGGGTATGAGTTATGTACGAATTCATGCCTTGGCGAAAATGTCCTCAAGTGAAAAGAAAAAAACAAATTTAGATCAGAGAGGCCATTGAGCTGCTGACTGCACATAGAGGAAGTGATTTCAAGAGTCAGTAACGCGTGAGGAGTTGTGTAATGAACAGTACCTATTTTAACTCCAGGTATATGTAGTAAAATCACAAGTGAAAGTCACACAAGTGAAGCCCAAACCTCATAAGCGCGAAAATTCACGCAACAGTGACGAGCGACGCGACGTCGATCGTCTTCGCGCGATCAGTCGCTAGCGCAGGCAAACCTCATTCACGCGACGGCTTCGGCGAGCGAACTTCAGTGTTGCTGGCATGAGGCCATCTACTCGCAACAAGAAAACCGCGTAGTGAGCGGTATGCAATTTAAAAATACGTTATATTGTTGTGTAATGGAACCGAAAGTGTTTATGAATGCCTTGCGGCACTTTTTTTATATGCACATGTGTAAACATTGCGTTATTTCTTGTTGCGCATACGTGACTAGGGCAGCGTCACGTGCACCTACGTAGTCTGTCTTTTTCGGTTTTTCGCTATTGGCTGCTTGAGCCCAGCACTTCCGGGCGATGAGCGACGATTTCCAAATCTGGATAACCGAGCGATCGAGCGAAAATGAGCACGCGACACGTCGCGCGAACGCCCTGTTTCGTCGCTTGTAGCATCGCTCGTCGCTGTCGCGTGCATTTTCGCACTTATGAGGTTTGCTCTTGAAAGTCACACAAGTGAAAGTCACACAAGTGAAAGTCCCACAAGTGAAAATCACAAGTGTCCTGCTACGAAATTCTGAAAGTCTGTTCAATAATGGGACATCAGTCACTTGTTTGTTTTAGGTGACCTTTGAACTAGTTGTTTGCAGTCTCTCTGAGAACGGCATGTGATGTAAAACACGCTAAAGCTGCCTACAGGAAACACGTGTACACAACCTACCACCACCAAGATGATGTTGGCACTTAACTGGTTGGCTGCTTTCGATGTCTTTTCTTCATACTGTGTAAATTCAAGTCCTGGTCCTTTAAACAACATGCATCAAAATACTTATTTGGTGACCCACATGAACACTGCACAAACAGGAAAGCTATCACTTTTGTACCTCTGTTTTACTCAGCCTTTCTTGTCTGCCATCCTTGGCAACTAACTATGCCAAGACAGCGAAGCACTTCACCAGCACTCCGTTGCAAAGCACAAGATTTTCCAACTATAACCAGTAAAACCAAGAACGATGCCACCCACAGGTTCTGATTGACTGCCGGACAACACTGAAAAGCCATAGATCTCCTCAACGTGAACATTTGGCAGTTGACACATCTTCTAAGCCTGCTCGGCTCTGTAGAGAGTTCCCTCGCAGCCAGCTTGCTCTTCTTGATGGATTTCAGCTGAGCATAGATACGCTGTTGCTGCCTCGTTGAGCTGTCACCGCTTTCGCTTCCGCGGCATCTTGACCGAGCGCAAGTAAGGGTTGTCGACCAGTTCAGGTGGCCGCTCGGGACTGCTCTTGGACTGTTCCTCTTCCTGCTGCTCGAACACCTGGTCCTTGGGAAGCAGCGCTGCTAGGTACGGCTGGGCCATAGGCTTGCAAGCTATAACTGTGAAGGAACAGAGAGAATGTAAGAAGCCAGGGTTTCAGGGCTGAATGCAAGCGAATAGTCAAAGTACCTTTTGCTTTATGATACCTTAGCGTTACTCTCTGCAAAAGCTATCCCAGGGAACTATAGCACTGCAGTTAGTAACACACTACAATGTCTAAACTTGATGTTGGTGACCCGAGACCAGTGCTATTACATCATTAAATACACTCAAACCTTGATATAACGAACCCAGATATAACAAAATATTGATTATAACAAAGTAAATGAAAAATAGTCTTGCAACAGATATGTTGTTACAAATGCACTTTCATAACGAAATTTTAAATAACAAATTCATTTTCGTGTAAGATGCAACTTTGTTATAATGTAGTTTGAGTGTACATAATAAGTTCCAAAATTTCCAAGCAGCCATTTTATAACTGCGCAAAGGCGCTACATTTTGGTATGCATAATCTTCGATAATACAATACCTTATCTACAACAGTGAATCTTCAAATCACTAAGTAGTTTGTATAGTGAAGAACAATGTTTTGGCGAGTTGACGGAGGAGTAATCAAAGACGAATCTCATGCTGAGCTAGCATACTAGACGCTTTTATCAAAAGTAGTAACAAATTTTCCGGCATTCAATTTCGCGGGGCTCCGCAAGGATGGCAAGCTGCTACGAAAGCATCACTGATGGTGCTCACGAGGAAACGGCGCTGACTGGTCGGCAAAGAGGCTCTGAGTGGGGCCCGTCTTGGCGACAAAGCGGGTCAGGGCGCGCTCCACGTCTCGCTTCTGGCTGGCCAGCTTCTCCCGGATAGCTTCGTATTCCGTCACGGGCTGCTTGTGAGTCTGAAAGGGAGTTGGGAGGGAAAGGCAGTTTGGGCCCACCTAATGTTGCCGACTGAAATTTCTGTGAAACAAGCTCTTTACCGCTGTCCCGTTAAAACCCTCTGGGGCAGCAAGGTGGCTACGGCATTTCATTCCTTAGCAAAGACCCCAGGATTGCATCAACATGCAAAAATTGATTGACCTTCTGATGATGAGGCGACTTAATTCATATCAGGTTCCCTACTTGTTTTTTAGCTTGATCTTTCTCTGCCTGCTTTATCGATAGCATTCAATTAATTCTGTTCTGAATGAGTGCCTTTCCTGTCCTGATGAGCACTGAGTAGAACGACAGCTAATTTTCAGGACCAATTTCTTCATAGAGAAATAGAATACTGTTTCCAAGAGAACCTAATATGGCAGGTCACTTACTGGTGTCCGGATGTAGGCATGTGGATCAGGAAACGGCACCATGTGTTCGGGGATATGTGGAGGCAGGGGTTTCTTGTCTCCAGCCTGTAGAATCTTCGGTGTTGACGATCGTGCCTGTAAGCCCGCTGGCCACACGCAAAAGGCATTTCTTGATTAGAGACGGAAGCAGGTAGAAGTGGCTTTTTTCTCTTTTCCTGTACCAAATCAAACAATTCAACAGCAACATAATGTGCATACAAAACAAAACAGGCGTGGACCAAGACGAGGAAACTTACGCCTCACATCCCGTATGGAAGCCACAATGTGAAGCTTTGAGAAATTTCTCACCAACCGTATGAGATTTCATCACTCTACTCCACTAAGATACTGCCTTAATACTGAATCAGAAGTACTTGTATAACAAACTTTTAGATAATTAAATATGTTGCACGATAGCCCTTCAAGTCGAATTGTGGTCAATAAATGGTGTCATGAACCTAAATATCGCTTTAGAAGTCCAGTGAAAGCAGAACAGAGGCTATCGTGTATTATTCTTATACAGGAACTCCGGAACTTTAAATAAAGTTCTTCGTACCACATGCCATGTGTGTATAGTAGTATGTAATACTCTAAAACTAAACCCACAAACTGAAACCTTTTTATTCTGCTATAAGAGTATCTGTGTATGTGTGCCTAGAAGCATGCCAAGTGACATCCGCAATTTTTTCGAGAATCGATAGTCCTGTGGGTAATGGTAAAGGGTAAGCCACTGGGCTCAAAACAAATTTAGCTGTAAGAAAGTTACAGGCCATGTGTAAAACGATAGTTCAGAAGGTCCTCTTACGTGTCGGCAGGGCAATGCGGCTGGGACGCTTGACAAAGCTCCACAAAGACTCCACGTTGATGCCTAAAATGGAAAGGTAGTATTAAAATGCATCAAACCAACACGAAATAAATGTTTTCATTAAGTTCGTAACCCATTTTGTTTCACCCTAACGCACGTCCCACCCAAAAAAAAAGTCAGCGAATGCTTGTCATTCATTTTATTCGGACTGACAAGCAATTACTCACCCATTTCGATGAGGGCCACAAAGACATCTCCAGACAAGACTTCGGTCCTCCCAGAAAGCTCGCAGAAAGCCCTGCTGCTTCGAGCGATCTCGATGAGACCTGAAACAATTGTAAGGCACGCTCTGTACGAGTTGAATGTCGTTCAGCGACATGTTTCGGCGAATTGGCGAGATGATCGCAGGTACAGGCCGCTGATAAATGTGCAGCATCTCTTTTTACTTCTTCCAGTCAGCATGGTCGCGTAAGTAGGTGAGCAGGTCCAATGTTTAATGAAATTTGACGTAAGCTTTCAGCCGAGATCGGTTCCTTAGCGCAAGCGGTTGGAAGAAGCCAAACAAAATAGAAAAATCCAACTTCGATCGAAAGTTCATTGTGTCATCTAGGTGTAACACAGAGAGCGGATCGAGTAAGACGTGTTGAAAAGTCACAAATATGCGGACATTGCAGTGTGACTGCGTCGGTTTTCACGCCGACGCACTTACAGCTTTGAAGCATCTCCACCAGAGACTCGACTGCTGCTCGCTCTGCGCTTGAGAAGCCGGTTTCGGCGCAGATCGAGCACACTGCCGCAAAGAGAGCTTTTCGACGTTGGGTTCACAGGACCCGCGTCAACTGCGCTCGACGCCATCATCAGTTGCCGCGGTTGCTGCAAGGGCTCTCGTTATATCAGCGAGCTGCATCGCCAAAGCATCAGTGTTCAAAATACCAATAGACAGATGACATATTGTTTCTACACTTTCTGTGTTGTGAGTTGTTTAACCAAATAACAACATAAAAACAATAGCTACGTAACTGTGACAAAAATTTTTTTGTAATATTATAGAATAAATATTTATGAAAAACTTAGGCGTTGTCATTGCCGAATTGAACCGTTGCTCGCTTCTGACTTCGACCAACATCATCTCTACACACGATTAGTCTTCGTAGAGAGCGGTAGAAAGCAGACGAAAAACATGGCAGGGGATTGAAGTGGATTCTAAAGTGGTATGCTTTCTGTGGTCTCTGGTGTCTCGCTTGAGCGACGTGACGCACGTTTATAAGCGATAACAAATGCCCAAATGCTCCGCGTACGGGTGCCGAAGTGGATACGAGCCGAGCACTTCCAAAGGGCGACACTTCTTCGGCGTACCGAAGGAACCAGAGCAGGCCGCCAAATGGAGCGCCGTGCTTGCTCGCAAGGGAACGACGCTGGGCGCGAAGAGTGCCGTCTGCGACCTGCACTTTTCGGACGACGTTATACTCAAGGAATACGAACATGTCGTCCGGGGCGACCTCGTGCGAATCCCGCGCGGCCGCTGGTGCCTCAAGCCGGGAGCCGTGCCGACTCTCCGACTGGCGAGCTGCTTCGAAAAACCCGTCAGACGCAGGAGTAAGCAGAAGCGCCGCTTGGCAGCGGGGAACGATTCGCGGGACCGAAGCGTAGAGCGAGACGAGCGTTTCGCCGCGCTCGTGGCGAGTCTGGCCGAACGCAAGGACTTGTGCGGATGGAGTGTGCTCGGCTGCGGCGACGAGCTCGTCGCCTTGTGTAAAATGTGCGTAGTCGACTCCGTCGTTGTCGTTGAGAAAGCTGTAGTAGTCCGCGACTCCTTGGAGGTGACGGTGAACGCTATGGGACGCGTTGTGCGGACTGCACACTGCCTGGAGTCGCCCACTGTCCACGTAAACGACGGGGATGAGCTCGCCAAACTCGTGGCCCGTTTGGACGCGCTGAAGATTTGTTCTGGCTGCCCCGCCGGCGAAGACTCGAGCGATCTTGAACGCCCAAGGACGTTCGGAGTGTTTAGTGAACAGTGTCACGTGCTATCCATGCAAGCGGTGTGTTCTGCGTGCCAGATTCTTGGTGACGGCGCCTAGTTATGCTGATCAGCTTCCTTCGAGACTCAGCGTGACTGTTCGACTATTGCACGAAGGGATCGTCGGAATACTCTGATGACGCCAAACCGCCCGTAATGCAGTCTCAACATGAAATGCCTTGAGTTGGAGGCCACTATCATGCGCCCAGTTGAAGCTATTCGTGACAGCTCTTCACAGGTATAATGGGCAATTATGTGTTACTGTTGCGTGTAGTTGTTGTGCCAGTTTGAGTACTCTATTCACTAACATAATTCCTAAGTTTGCATGATAAGTATGCAGACACAAGCATCCCAAGCTTCTTACCAACAATGTCATAGTAATTGATTGATATGTGGGGTTTAACGTCCCAAAACCACTATATGATTATGAGAGACGCCGTAGTGGAGGGCTCCGGAAATTTAGACCACCTGGGGTTCTTTAAACAATGTCATAGTAGATAAGCTGTTAGTTGCAGTAACATAAGCTACAATTTCGTAAAAGAAAACAGTGTAGACAAAAAGACTGACAGGACTTGACACTAAGTCTTGTCAGTCTTTTTTTTGTCCTGTTCGCATTCTTTCTTGTTATGAAGCCAAACCAAGATGCTCAAGTTCATACCCTTCTAAAATATGCTATGGTGTTATGATGATGGTGTAGTAAATTCAGTGCTGCATTGACCAGCATGCGTAATCATGTGTGGCATGGGTGTAGCCTCAGCATGGGTGTATCTGTAGCAATTTAAGCTATTAAACAGCAGTCAAAGACCCCTATGTCGGAAGTGTATCATAAAGCGAACAGTCTAAGCATATGTGACAGTGCTTGAAAAATATAGAACGAGCAGAGGAAACATTTTGAACCTTTTATAGTATATAACTATAAAAAGAGAGATGGCTAAGCTGCGTTTCTTGGGTGCCACATAGAACCTCTCGTCGTCCAAGCTGTCAATTTTGAATAGTAGCTGTCTCCGGTGACGAGTTACCTTGCCTGCAGTGGAGTGCGATGCTGCATGTAACAAGTCGCTTGCCACGGCATCTCAGTGTATTTGTGGTGGCAGTAAGGTCAAAGTTCTATCTCTACCTGTGTTTGGATGGTATAATGCAAAAGAGAAGTAAAAATAAATAAGGCAGCTTTGCCTTAGTGAAGCCAAACCTGAACGAAGTGCAGAGTTGGGCAGCTTTCTTTGGTTCTGTCTTTTTCAGGTCTTTCGATTTTTCTTAATTTTTTTCCTTCCCTCCTCACTTTGCCTTTCTCAGTTGCTTCTTTAAATTTTTATGTGTGGTTTGTGTTGTCGTGTTTCCCTAGCCATAGTAGTAATGTCAACACTGTATCATTGTCAAAACTGCTTGAAGAAAAATAGAAAGAATGCTTTTCCTGGCCTGAGAGGGCGCTCAATATACTACAGCTGACTATGCTAATGTGGTTTCACCCGTTCTACACCAAGCCATGATGGCCCGGCCCTTTAAGGTTATTAGAAAGCCTGTTGAGATGCATGTTGAACAGCCTCAAGTAGTGCAAATCATAAAAGCCCCAGCTCTATGGATCATTTTCCTTGATGTTTGTGTGGTGGCATTTTTTTGAAGCTAACGCATTGAGAGACTGCATAAAGAAGGTGGAGAAAGAGAAGCAGGCAAGGGCGGTGCTAGGAAGCAGGGCAAGGGCATCTAAAAAATTAGCGCAGCTTGCGCGAAATCGCACCAGACTGGGTCACAACGGAGCTGCCGGGCATGCACCTAGTTGGTCCCAACTTGGCTAGCATTTTGCTCTCGTATTCCTTCTTTTCTCATCCCTAGCTATTCTACATAGGCATATTGCTATTCTTCAATATATGTGGCTATGCATGCTTTATTTTCTTTTTCTTTTTTGGTGCCCATATGTCTGTTGCTTTCTATGTATATTTATCAATTTTTCTCATTCTCTTCTTTGCCCTTTCTTTCTGTCTTCCTATCTTCCTTTGTAATCTTTCTGTTGACTTTTATCGTTTTCTTTCTACCTACTTTTCTTCTGTACTTGCTTTTCCTTTTTCTCCTCCTCACCCCCACTTCCCTTTCCAACTTTCATTGCCATACTATATTGTGCAAGACTATGCTGCGCTTTGATAGCATGCCTGGATAACCAAGTGGTTATGACACTCGATTTTAGATTGTGGGGATGCCGGTTCAAATCTTGTCTCGCCAAAAAAATTTTTTTTCGCCAAAAGTTTCTTTCTGTCTCTCTTTCTACTCGTTCACTTGCCTGTCAGAGTTATTGCGTCCCACACCGGACAAATCGGCGCGCGTGTTCTGGGAGCAAAGCAGGAGAGGAAGGCAACGAAGAAACAGATGGTGAAAGGCAAACCGTAACAGCTCTGCCGTAATATGAGATTGTAACAGCTCTGCCGAAATACGAGATAATCTAGCAGGAAATCGTCACTGCATTGTGGAAAGCCAAATGATGTGCATTTGATAGCATGGCATACTGCCACCATTGTGCTCGCAGTGTCTGAGTATTAACTCTACAAGAAGCTATGTCACCAACCTTACACAAAAACAACCTAAAGCCTCTCTAATTGCCTTTATTTGAGATATTATGTGCCAGTTAATCAACACAGATGCATATATTTGGAGTAGTACCAGCATCGCGTGATTGACCCCGCGTAATCCTTTTTTTTTTCTCTTCATAAATGAAAGTCTAAGCTATAAATACTGGCAAAATATTGGGGTGGTTGGTTGGGTATAGCTTTATTCAATTCTCCTGTCGTGTTTCTGCCGACCAGGGCTCAGGTCTTTCATGATGGGACGCCCAGATCTTGTCTCAGCAATGCATCGCAAGCCTGATGGATGGGACGGAATAGTTTGTGCTATAGTGTTTTCGAGTACGTAATTCCGAGAAGCATTCGTGGTTTCAGTACTCCAGAAGTCTATTAGGCTTTACTTTACGATGTGCCGCATCACACCATAGCTGCACCACGCAAATGCAGACAAGGAGTGCATGCAGCACTTTTGCTCATTTCTTTAAGAGCAGTATAATCGCATATAACTCAAGTGGCTTCCTCTCCACTAGGCTGAGACTAGCTGTAGTATCAAATTAAGTTATTTCGTAAGTGATCTTCCAAATCTGCAGCTTTCAATATTTCACATTGGAAAATTATTTGGTGGAACTTCTGCAGTATGTATTCATGTGTCGGCATTCCTGGAATGTGTACTACAGCAGAAACAGAGGCCCTGTATTCTCACTTTTTACCAATATGCTGCTCGCGTCGAAGCTTAGCAGTACTTGCGGAACACCGAAGTGGGTGGAAGAGGACATGAAAAAAAAAGAGGGTGTCATTTTATGAACATGCCAGGGTGTATTCATGCTTGGCAACTGCTTATTAATGCAACAGCATGGAAGAGCCTGTGTTTGAAGAATTCTGGTGTCGGCTGTTATGGTGTTGTCTGAGAGCGAAAAATCTTTGAGCCAGAATCAAACCCAGGTGTTCTACCACAGAGCCACTGTGGTTGGCCACCGGTTGGGCATTGAAAAATGCATGTTAGTATAAAGGTAAAGAAAGAATGTTAGTCTCTGTCTAGGGGCAAGACTGTCTTTTTTTCTTCATGAAAATTCAATTCGCCCAAGACACGCAAGGTTGTCATATTGGGCAGTGTGGAGATTTTGAAATAGTTTGAGATATTTAATATTTCCAGCATTTGTACACAAATGAGACAAAAATTTGACTCATTTCTTTTGACAACACATATTTCCTATTCAAACTAAGTGATTGTAAAGAGTGCTTTGCTTTAAAGAATAATTGATGAGATGTTCTGCCATACCCAGGAACTGCTCATAAGTTCTTATTTATACAATCCAAAAAAGCGACGGATTTTTTTCACTGATGTGCCAAGCTGTACTAGTGTGTTGAATGATCGATGTTAAATGAACCTTAAAGACATACTACTAGGCTGAATTATTTGTATGTCTTGAAGCAGATAGCAAACAACAAACACAAAATATTAATGTAAAAATATATTTCTCTTGCATAGAAATACAGAAGTTTCGAGTCTTATGCACCACAGGAGAAAAGGAGAGGGTGTTTCGTTGAATGATGGCCACTGGAAGTTGTTAACGGAAAAAGACAGGAAATGCAGCCTCTCGCGAAACCACATCAGAAGCGCGTGGAATACTAGACCTCGCAAAGTGCCTCACATGTAAGCTGGGCTTGCATCTCCGTACGATTAAGTTGGTCTGCATGCCAGTTCTTTACATTGAACACCTCTGCTTGAACATTGTCAAATGCAAGCCCAGAATGCAAATTTACTTCTTAAATCTTTTATAAGTGTACTTGACACGTAATTTTCACATTTTCTTACTGCTACCTTACCACACGAATCCGGTTCCTGAATTCACTGGTCCAGCTTTATTTGGAGACAGATGACCATTTGTAACGTTCACTTTTAGAGTGAAAAATAGATGTGGGATAGCATTGGTGCTGGCCAATAATATCTATCGTGATGGCGTATTAGCTCTCTGCCTCTGCAAACCAGACCTAAGTTCAAATACACTTTACCATATGTGTGCTGCCTTTGTGCACATCGCGGGAAGCAAAATTTTCTAGCTCCCGACAGAAGTTCGAGTGAACTAACTCGAGAGTTCTGCCAATTTCAAAATGTACAGTTCAAAGGCTGCGTGACGTCACGCGATGGTATTTTCTGATCAACATGCTTTTGGCGTGGTCCACTGCTTGTGTAGTCCACTCGCTCCTAAGTGTCGCCATCGCAGACGGTCTGACGGTAGAACCGGCACCCCAACAACTTCACAGGCGGCCTAGTCACTTGCCAAGCTTCTTCTTCAGGTTGTCGGCGAGCTTGTCAAGAAACTCGAATGTGTTGAGGTAGTCGCTACGCTGGACGCTGCGAGTGGAAATTAAGGCTTTAGTTAGTTGAAATGTGTGCAAATCACAGACATGATATGTATATATGAATGAGACAATCGATTTATTCCATTCTGACTGCCATTCATTCGCCGAAAAAAAAAGTGGTGAAAGAAAGAACATGATATGTCGTTTGTACAGAAAAGCTGCCTTGCCATCACTTTCATAGTTGTATCAGTAGTAGTTGCATGGGTAACATGACTAGGAGGAGAGTGAATATTAAACATAGGCACTACAGACCTCCAATTAGTGCAGTATTGTTCTGAGCTCTCTGGAGTACATCAGAATATGTTTTACTATCTGCCAAGCTTGGAAATTAACAAAGATTGTTTAATGATGTTCTGACAACATAGTAACTCTGCAGAAAAATCTTGAATACTCAAAAGTTGTAATGCTTGTTAAGAAATATTAAATTTTTTAATCGATAATAGAATTCCTTTGCTTAATTTTTTCCAGCCTGTTTTTTTAAAGTGACTGATTTTTGAAACTACCATGTGACTGCTGTCTAGCACAGGGCACATTTAGTGCCCTCAAATGTAATTTGAACAACCTGTCACGCTCGAAGGTTGATAAAGCCGGCTATCGGTGACTGCGATGAACGCTAAATGTTGGTAGGGCCATACCTCATTAAAAAAAAAATCTACGAAAGAGCCGCCAGCACGTGTAAGTGCATATTTTATTTCTGTCCTTCGCTGTCACCTTTGCTTCTTTCAATGTTTTGCTTCATTGAAGTGAAAAAAAAAAAAAAAAAAACCTATGCTGGATCAAACGCTGCCTACAGTCTCATGTGATGTTTGCTCCGTGGCTGCCACTTCTTCGTTAAAGATTTCTTTTTTTTTTTTGTAGGAACAGTATGCTCTTTTTATCGCTTAGTATCTATCACAGTCGCTGGTTGCCTGCTCTACCGACCCTCGTGCGTGAACCTTTGATGAACTGTTGAACTTACATTTGAGGGTACAAAAAGTGCCCCCCAACAAGTGGGGGTCGCATGGATGGGTGGATGCAAAACTTTATTGGAAGTCCTGAGGTACACGACTCAACGTGCAGCGGGCCGCTATCACGTTGGGACAGTCAAGCTGTGCCCGACCGCCGCATCGTGGGCCCTCCGGACAGCCCACAGTTGGTCCCAGACATCGGGGCTCTATATAGTGGACAACCACTTTTCTTTGTTGCATTGTCCATGAAAGTTTTTAAAATTGATGCCAGAGTAATGAAATACCTGGGAAAAATTAAGCAGGGGAGTTATCTTACCATAGATTGAAAAATTTCATGCTTCTGAACAAGTGCTACAACTTTTGTATTGAAGATTTCTTTTTCTTATATTTACTATTTAAAAAGTTCATTAAGCAATCTCTGTCAATTGGCAATCTTGGGAGTTGTGGCAAAAATGTTCTACATGGCTCAGAACAATACTATGCTAACTGGAGATGCATAGTGTTTAAATGCTTATCCTTCATCTTGTAATACTTGGTGCTTGTCAGCCGAAACGCCCTGTATACATACACACTCAAAAGTGAAAAATTTCGGGTTCGGGAGGAGGGGGAGGAGTAGAGGGAGGGGGGTTCCCATTCCTGGTTATGCCATTGTACCTTGGCAACACTTCTTGGTTGACTAGGTGGCAAATGCTTACGAAGGTACCTTAGGTGTGCCACAGATAGTAGTACAAATTTTTCAAGCTATGCAGCATTGGTCACTCACCCGGACATGCCCTTGATGCAAATGGCCAGATCCTTTGTCATGAAGCCAGCCTCAATGGTTTCGATGCAGACAGCTTCTAGTGAGGTGCAGAACTTGGCCAGCTCGTTGTTGCCGTCCAACTTGGCTCGGTGGGCAAGCCCTCGGGTCCAGGCAAAGATGGACGCTGCGTACGGAAGTTATGTACCTTGTGAAAAACCACAGCAGCAAAGTTAATCGCTTTGCTCGTGGATGTGCCAGCAAATGGTGGCTTATGTGCTGCTGGTGCACCGCACTCAAAAACTGTGCAAACCATAAGGTGCTGTGGCCCCTGACACAGCACCCTCACATGTAAGAAAAAAAACTAACGCCGAGTTCTCACGTGCACAACGCCGTTACAGACACTACGCACAAAGCTCATCTTCTATAGTACATGCGCCGGCCACAAATGTGTAGGGGGCACTGCAACATGGAGGCCAAGAGGAGGAAATAGTCCAAAATTATCAGTAAGCGCTGTTGGGTCGAGTGTCCACACCTATATTATTTTTCTTACATTGTGATCGAGGTGTACTTTGGCTCGGAATCATTTGCTGTCATCTTTGCTGTCATAACTACAGGAAATGCACTGCCACATGTACAGGTGATGTACCAATGGGGTTAGTGGAGGTCTCCTGGCCCTTCTGGTACATCCTGTAGTGCCGAGTCACGGTGCCGTGGGCCGCCTCGGCTTCCAGGGTCTCGCCGTCGGGGCACACAAGGACGCTCGTCATCATGCCCAGGGAACCATAACCTGCGCCAGACGCCACACATGGATGTGTAAGGCAAGTCAATATTGTTGTCCATTGCAGCTTCGTTTCCCCTGAACTTCTGCATAAGCAGCAAGCAATAGAAATCTGATTTTATAAACTGTATAAACACGAAGCTATCGTGGTGACAAAAAGCAACATTGTTCCTCATCCCTCTTTTGGTCTTGCGCAGTTCACATTACCTTAGCCCTGTCACCCATATTTAAAACCTCGAAGGACACTTGAAGCTTTCAATCAGCCTCGTTTGCATCCCCTTCTCAATTGCTAACCATGCCTCTGGTTCTTAGTAGACACCTCAACTATGCCGCATAATGTTGGCATGTGCTCATCAAATTGGTATGTGTTCACAAAATTGGCAAAGTGCCCGCTATGCCATAATTATTCCTCTAGCGAATTGGCGAAGTATCGACTACGTGTCTATAAAGCAGCACACACACCTGGGCAACTGTACACTTTGTTGATGCTATTGGTGATAGCGATGACTAATTAGACCTGCACTCCTTGTAGTCTGTGGAAGATTATACGAACCACTTGTCGCGCAATTTATTTTTTGATGCCTGGGGCGATCCTGTACTGCTGCCATGCAGTATCACATGTGTTGAGGAGCCCCGCCGCGGTGGTCTAGTGGCTAAGGAACGTTGGCTGCTGACCCCCAGGTCGCGAGGTCGAATCCTGGCTGCGGCGGCGAATTTCCGATCGAGGAGGAAATGCTGTAGGCCCGTGTGCTCAGGTTTAGGTGCACGTTAAAGAACCCCAGGTGGCCAAAACTTCCGGAGCCCTCCACTACGGCTTCTCTCATAATCACATGATGGTTTTGGGACGTTAAACCCACATATTTATCAATAAATTATATGTTTTGAGGACACTCCTTGCACTACGATACGTATTTGTATGGGGTTTTCTTCTGAAACAGTTTCAAGCACAGGCGTGGCTCTGCGGTAGAACACCTGCTTTTCACGTACAACTCATGAGTTCAAGTTCCACTTGACCTGAAGTTTTTTTATATTTCTTTATTTGTATTCATCTTGACTTTTCACAGACAACGCTCATTTTTTGCTCACAACCAATGACACCAACGTCGACACTGGAATTTCAGCGAAATAGGACCTTTAACTTGATGACATTAAAATTTGCATAAAATAAATGAGCAGTGTACTTAACTTGCTTGAGGAACATTTGCATTGAAATCATCCCAGTGGCCCTTATCAGCCACACCTTTATCAGCTTAGCTAAAGCTAGCCTACGCAAGGTTATAACTTTCTTTGTGTGTGGTTATTTATTCATGTATTAAGTGCATCGCATTGCTAATGACATAGTCTGAAAGATGTCCAAAAAGTTCAAATATAACTTGTTTTGAGAAAACAAAGTGCCCATCATGCTTAAATCATATTCTCTCAACAAAACTCTACATGTGGCAAAAAGTGAAGAAGAATAAAGCTAGATTGATTGAAAATTACACCCATTTCATTTCACTAGCAAGAAACTTGATTCACTAAATTGCTAATCAGAAGAACTCCTTAAGATATCGTGAAAATTTGTATCCAGTAAATAATTTGGAAGGCTTGCAACAAGGAGATGTTTGCTGGCTGAAAGAGTGACAAACGCACCTTGTGCCACAGCGTCAGACTGCACGTCGCCGTCGTAGTTCTTGCAGGCCCAAACAAAGCCTCCCTCAGACTTCATGGCCTGGGCGACCATGTCGTCGATGAGCCTGTGCTCGTACCACACGCCGCGCTTCTCAAAGTCGGACTTGTACTGCCTGCACATCAGAAAGTAATGCAAACGTCGCAGTGCGCACCGGCATTGTCTTCTTGCAGTTTACCATTCATAAATTAGCCAAAAAGCAAGTTCTGCAGACTTTACTTCATATTAGCACATCAGCTTTCAGATGAGATGATTCTACGGTTATGGCCAGGCAGTCGGGGTTGTGTGCCTACCGCATAGAAGTTTGCGGGGAAATTTATACCTTCGATACAGTCATATTGAGTGCGACTTCGTGAAAATGTCAATTAACAGGTTTATTTTGTGTTAACAGATGCAGTAGTGAGAAGAGAACATACTTATCATAAATCTCCTGAAATATGTCCTTGAACCGGCCATCATACTTCTTGAGGATTGTGTTCTTGGTACTGTAAACAAGAGTGAGGAAAAAAAAAAAAAAAACGGTACGCAAGGAAGTTAGCATCAGCAATTTCAGTGTCAATTCGAAGAACAAAGGTTTAAGCTGTTAAGAAAAAAAAAGTGCCATACCTGAGGTACAGTGGTAGCTCTCTCTGCAGTGCGAACTTGAAGGAGCTGTGTGCAAAGTCTGTTATAGACTGCACAGTGGGAAAGGGAAATGACAAGGGCGGAATAGAGAAAGGGAAAAATAAGTAGGTAATGAAACACATCTGTATGACCCCCGTATGATAATTTCTGGTCTAAGGCAAGCAGAAACCCCCAGAAAAGCCAACGCAAGCATTTCGCGTACTCGCTCGACAAGGCATCTGTACGTCTGCTTTTGTATTGCGCTTTTACAACAGCCATAAACTGGGTGCAACACTCCCGAACTGAAAGAAGGCCAAGGCTTCTGACAAGATAGTGAAAGCATAGTGTAACTGCTTTTCAGTGCAGTTAGCATTTTACTAACTAGGAAATGAAGCTGTAGACTTTACTTTTGTTCTATAGTACCGCAAAGGGGCACTGATGAGATTTTTTGAGCTGGAATTTGCTCTTCCATAAAACCTAGTGTGTACAGAGACTGCTCCAAGCAAGTGCAAAGCTGAGCAAATGCTGATAAGATATTTTTTTCTATTTTGACATCAATTTTTGTGTGACGCACCTATTGACATTGACACTAACTTGATGTCAGGCTGCACTACTGATTTCGGTGAATTCATGCAACAGTCCAACTAGTTGTGATAACGTCGGGTACCAAAACTTTCAAAATGGTTATTTGTCCATTACTATGGAGCCTCAGAACGAGGGGTCTATGGAAACATCACGATATTTTTGGCGAGCATGTGACGAGAAGCTCATATAGTGTTGGGACGTCAGGGTCTAGTGGAAACCAAAACTAGCTTTTGAAACCGTACTGTAATTACTTTTTCTGGGTGCACTGCCCCACAGCAGCACATTTTTGAAGCTCTTGAGGACTTAGCTTTTCCTTTCAAGTAATAAGAGAGAGAGAGAGAGAAGGAATGTAGGAAAGGTAGGGAGGTTAACTAGACTATGCGTCCAGTTTGGTACCCTACACAAGGGGAGGGGGAGAGGGGAATAAAAGAGAGAGAGAAGGATAGACACATGTCACATCACACACACAATGCCGAGTTTCACAGGCGGTCCCTCAATGAAGTTGTTGACAAGTATCTCAGGAGGGCTCGTGTGGCTTTCTGTGCTGATGTGCTGCGCGACCAGGCTCCTAAGATCTTTGCTTCATTAAATGGCCGGTCATCGAGTCTATTCAAGTAATAAAACGACAATTAAATCGAAGCCTTAGATGTATGGCAGTTTCGGCTAGTTGGTATGACATGACGATAGCTATAGCATGAGAACAGAACGACGACAAAGGGACAAGAAGGAGACGAGCGCTCGTCTCCTTCTTTTCTCTTTGTCGTCGTTCCGTTCTCGCGCTTTAACTATCGTCTTAGATGTAAGCCCTCGTGCAAGAAATTTTTGCGTATATGATTGAATACTGTATTATGTGAGCACTTTTTTACCTATAATGCAGCTCTTTGCTTTCTTATGCTTTGTTTTTACATTGTTTTTGTTCTTTATTTACTTCAGTTTCCACACGGCAGTTTCTTACAGAACAAGGGAATATGGGTATTCCAGGAGGTATTAGCTTCTTGGAGGTACACACACTATGCTTATGTACAGTTTCGTCTATGTCTTGCTTCTTAGCTCAAGTAAGAGTCATCACCCAATCGAATTTTATGTATGGAATGAATGCTTGCATGCCGAAGTTGTCTTTTCTGCCTCATTTCTCGGTCATCCGGTTACCTGCATCGAGCAATTTACTCATGGATTGAAACACGATTTCAGTTTCTGCATGAAAATTGCAACTTGAGCCAGTTGGTACGGATTCATGTTGAAAAAAGTAAGGGCACAACACGGGAAGCACCCGTGTTGTGCCCTTACTTTTCTTAGAGTCCTCGTTCTCCAGTGCGCTGTTAAAATCAAGATATATCAGTTTCTTTAGCATAACTACTTTTCTGAGCATCTTCTGGAGATGACTGTGTCATGCCGCTACAAATATGGCCACTATAGGCACTGTTGAATCGGATGTTGGAGTCTAAGTAAATATGGCAAAAATATGACGTGCACTAAAAATTAGCCAAGAGGCAAGTACTCGCGATTCAAATGGAAAGCAACTAGCACGATCATCTTGTACAGTTGAAGGGCAGGTGCACTGCAGTTCTGCAGGTGGTGCTAATATTTTTTTAAGCTTGTAACGGAGTATAGTATATTGAATCGTGCAGTACTGCACCACAAGTCCTTTGCCAAGATCTTTGAAGAATTTGTTGGTTTTTACTGTGTTCGTATCTGCGTACGGTGATTAATGGTACCAACCTTGTCAGTGTTGAACATGGCCATGGCCACACCTCCCGTGTTCTGGAACTCGTGCACCTTGAACTGCAGCGGCGGCTCGCCTGCGGCACTGGGTGTGAACTTGATCTCGAGAGTGCCGGGCCCCGGAACGACAAAGTCGGTGGCCCTGTACTGGTCCCCGTAGGCATGACGGCCGATAACGATAGGCTTCGTCCAGCCGGTCACAAGGCGTGGCACGTTGCGGCAGATGATGGCCTCGCGGAAGACAGTGCCGCCCAGGATGTTACGGATGGTCCCGTTGGGCGAGCGCCACATCTGTTTGAGCTTGAACTCCGTGACGCGCTTCTCGTCGGGCGTGATGGTGGCACACTTGATGCCAACCTTGTACTTTTGGATGGCGTGAGCACAGTCAATGGTGACTGCAGTGTACAGAGGTTGAGAAAAAGATGCGACTACTTAAAATCGGCTGCAACAATTGGCTTGCTTTTGAGCAGTCACATTAAATTGTCAAGCTTCTACAGGCTGCTTTGTTTTCACATTAAAGGGTAACATCTATGTTTCACAGGCATTACGCCAAAGCGCGACATCGTGCGACTAAGAAATGCTCCGCATTTAAAACAATCGAATGGTGTGTTCCTAACAGACTGTAGATGTCAAACAGCAAGTATGCCTATGAACAATGACAAGTTAGCATGTTTGGTCCTGACTAATTTATTGATAAGCAGACTGTGAATGGTATACAGTACTGTTCAAGACGTATTATTGTGCTCTGTTGGTTCCCATATGAAGTCATGTTTTTTTATATGTAAATGCTTGAGTCATATGAAAAGCTTAGTGCATGCCATTGCAGATCACTGCACATCTTGTATAATCACCTGTGTTTTTGTATACGCTATGGAAATTGTTGTTTTCTCGAGGCACCTGTAAACTAAAGGTTAATAAACTAGATCGCTTGGCATGTAATTTTCATAGCAAACCATTTGTACTCTAGACGGTAGCGTGAAATGCAAGCATACTTCCCAGTGCAGTTTTATATGAGTGGATGAGCATACTTACCCTGATCATCCGTACGATCCCGGTTTTCAATGCCAAGGTCATAAATGTGCAGCTCAACATCTAAGAATGGAAGAATGAGCTTCTCCTTGATTAGGTCCCAGATGACTCTGCATTATATCAGGATGAAAAAATGGTGTGTTTAATGCACAATACTGACCACGCAAGTAATATCACAGAAGTACCAGTAGTAAGATTCAACTCTGAACTGTAATGGCATTCAATGAAAACATCGTGCTACAAATGACCAACTGTGATCTGAATGAAAAAATGGCAATGGATCAAGGTCTTGTTTCTTTGTTTGACATTCAACCGTTATGCGTGATATTGAGTACGGAACGATTTGTGGGCAGTGGCTTCATAACACCGCGAGGTAAAGAAGGCAAAGTACAGTGTGTGCTTGGGCCAAGCATTCCTGCAGTAGTGGACTTCTAATAGACTAAAATAAATGAATGGATTACATGGTATCAGTATGCTGTCCAGCGGTTTCTTACAAAACAAGTGATTATTGGTATTTTAGGAGGTATTAGCTTCCATGAGGTACACAGCCTTGCACGCAAATGTACAAGCGACTATCAGCACCTAATGATAAAGCCGGCTAGTTCATAAAAGTGGTTAGCTATTCCTAATCAATAGTGCAGCTAAAAATGAGCTTGGTTCATAATAAAGATGCTGCTAACAGGGGTGTGCAATGTAGCATTGACATGCAGAATTAAATTTAACTCCAGTAAGGTGGCCTTAGTAGAATTATGATATCCGACATCTGAAAAGTATCTCTAAGTTTCGAATGTTCTCTACCTCCTTAGTCTTGCATATGCACTGCTTAAAGCTTATTTATGCACTTGTTATAAACGTTTCCCTGCACCTAATTGTATTGGAGCATAGTGCTTTAGCAGTCATGTCTTTTGAAGCCAGATTGTAGTTAACTAGAGAACCCGATGTAACATTGAATTTCGTTAAACGGAACTTCAAGACTGCCCGAAGAAGTCTTAAAGAAGCCTTGTATTGCACTAATGTATGACCTACATGCATACGACCTACTAATATTTGACCGTGAATATGCTTGTACAGTATGGGATCCTCATGGTCAAAATCTAATCTATAAACTAGAACACACACAAAACCGTTCTGCACGCTTTTTTTCTGTGGAAATCGCAACTTTACTTCTAGTATTACCCACATTAAAAGTAACTTTCACCGCAAACTTCTTGAGCAGCGCAGCTCACTCTTGCTATTAACGTTTTTCCACTCTATTTTTAGTGATGAAACAAAAGTTTATACATGATGAGCCCATACTACATATTTCATTTCATTTCATTTATTTACTCTCAAGGCCGAAGCATTACAGAGAGGAGCGGGTATACATTGTACAGAAAATCAGGAAATACAGCAAATCAAAATTATATGCACACAATGGCGGTCTGAAAACCATAAAAGAAAAGAAAGACTGCGTGATGTGAAGAAGAGGCAGGGTGGTTGTAAAAACAATGTTCAACATGGTTGCGTCTTTGAATGACACGCGCACACAAAAAAACTAACAAGAGAAAACACAGCGTGACTTAAGTGGCAAATTTACGCGAAGTGGTTAGAGAGGGCGTTTTTAAACAAAGTGAGGTCAGTGATAGCAGCGATATCACACAGAAATGATCATAAAAAAATATTCATGAAATAATCTGTCAAAACAGCGGTGTCTTTGCTCAATAATCTTGTCCTTTTACTTTTCATCAATGGAATAAGTTTGATGCGTGTGTCGTTGAGCTTTCCTACTGATGCAGAAGATAAAAGCTTTCGGTCCATGTGCAGGCACTGCTGCGTGAACATACTTCATTGTTTTGATTGTACAACTCTTTGATTAGTTTTTGTACCCCCTTACAATAACACCCACTAAAGCGATGTAGGCTTCAGTAATAAATAAAATAGATTGTAGAGGCCAGTGCTGCAGTTTTCTGTCTGATACAGAGGTGTTCAGAGAACGGTATTATAATAGGAAGGAACACTAACTTGTGGTACTGTTCTGCGCACCGCAAATCTGAGACCAGTTACCATCTCACCTGTTTTTCTGAGAAGATTTCTAGAACTGTGCATAACTTGTTAGACCTAGTACGCCAGTTTACTTCCTCTTTGTGGCCTTTTTACGTGATATAAGTTTCAGCAGTTTTACGAGGAACTCGTGACATATCAAAGCGAATTAAGGAAACAATTATTGCATCGATTCGTTGAGGTCGTGCTGTTTATTGAAAATGCATCTACCAAAACTGCAAACCGTGAACATAGGTCGCGGGACAGGCTGCAGTGAAGCCACATGATTAGGTTTTCTTCACTTTTAACACTTAGAGCGTTATCTCTGATAGGGCCACATCTGTGCCAAGACTGCAGCGCATTAGGGGAGCTCAACATCATTTCCCGAAATTTTTCCCTTTCGCATTATGCTTATGCCTGGCGCCGAGTGATAAGTTAACTTCTAGAAGAAAGCACGGGAATAATTGCGCGGATGTCGCCGAAATGCGTGTAGTTAGCGTTAGACCGATTCTCTAACGGTAAAAGGTCACTGCATGTGCTAGCAAAAAATGCCACATGCTTTCGCTTGCGCTGCGGAAACCGTTTTGAACACACGTCGGCCGGATCAACGAGGAAGCGCGAAACGAAAAAAAATAAGCGCGCGCCCTTGAAACGTGGGGCTTTAAAATTCCGGGCCAACGTATTCTACGAAGGTCGGACGCCGCGGGCAATTAAAAACACATCCGGCGCGGTGCTCGTTCTTTTGTTTTTTTTTTTTTTTTCCTTTTTCATGCGAGCGCAATGCCGCGGTAACCCGACTCCCACAAATCCAAGCCACGTAGCGGGGGGGATCTCACCTCGTCATCTCGTCCCCCAGGATGTCGACCACGGGTCCACCTGGAGAATAAAGCGAAGGATCATGAGCGTGGCGGTCCACAGAACCGAAACCAGAAAGCGGAGGTTCCACGTACACTGAATTTTCGCCATGATCGGCCGTTCCGGCTGGTTTCCTTTCGACGACTGGGTGTGTTCGGTTGATCAGGAAGCTCTATAGTAGCGGAGCAGGTTTTTTTCTTTCCTGGTCGCCTCGCAACCGGCTTCTGGGCTGTGGTCAGTCGCGAGGTACGAGGAGGGGGGAGTGGACGCCGCTTCAAAACACCCTAGATCGTCGGAGGTGTTTGTGAAAAAAGAGATAGGGGACGCGCGCCCGGGAGAAATTCTGCCGACTGTAATCTCTCTGGCCGCTCTCCAGGGGGTTCCGATAAGAGGGACCGGACGAAACACAACGCAGTTGTTAAGCGCGACAGATGATAGACGGGCTTGTGGGCTGGCGACGATTGCCGGCGTCTGGCGATCCAAGCCGGTCAACGCCTGATTCGGCGGATGTTAAAAGACAGCTCAGTAGAGCTACTCCGCCCCGTTTCACCGGCAGAGGTTTGTTTGTGTTGATGATGATAGCTAAAAGCGCTGAAGCGACAGGGGCGCTGCAGTTGCTGAATGTATCTCGCTTGAACTGACGCTTGCGGAACTGTTGTATGTGACTTCTTTTGGGGCATTCTGATGATGTAGTCACTGTCTTAAAGAAACATCTGATATCCGAAAAAAACATTTTATTTATTTTATTTTTTTATTTGAAAGATTACCCGCTGAAACCGCAGTCTTGCGGCCAACTAAATCAGCTGCTAACATATTCCATTCGACAATGGCTTGCGGAAAAAAAAAAAGAATGCTTAAAAAGATCAGTCTGGGGTTTTATGGCCGTACTTTAAATTTGTTGTCATGACGAGAGGAATGATAATGCGCTGGTTTCAAATATTCTGAAGGATTAATGCCTGTTTTTTTTTGTTATAGATTGAATAAAATAGTTTCAATCTTAGATTACGTCTTCGCCATTGTAAGTATTGCCAATTAAGTTCTCTTTTCATACACTGAAAGCTTTCAGTTCGGTCATATTTTCCCAGAACAAATCTCGCTGCTATCGACTGAATGCACTCTAGTGCATGAATGTGTACTTTGTGAAACGGATCCCACACAGGACAGGCGTATTCCAGTATTGGTCTGATATAGGCGTAATATGTGGCCTTTTAATCTTCTTGGTTACGTGTTTAAGATTGCTTTGTAAAAAGCTAAGGGCTTTTCCAGCTCTGCTGAGAACACTGGCAATAAAGACAGCTTGAGTGCGGTTACTTAAAAATTCACGGATCCACTTTAGGACGTCGGGGTGTAGGTTTAAGCGGGAAAGTTTCAACAGAAGGCGTTTATGGGGTACTTTATCGAATGCTTTCGCAAAGTCCAGGAATATGGCATCAGTCTGTACGTTATAATCCAAGTTAATATGCAAGTCGTGCGAAAACATAGCCAGTTGAGTCTCGCACGACAAACCTTTGCGAAAGCCATGCCGCGCGGAATTGAAAAAGTTATTTGAGTCTAGGAAGTCCATAATCCGGGTGTAGATGACATGTTCGAGGTTTATCAATAATTCTTACTCCCATGACGTCAGCGTATCTCCACTAAAGGCAGAACTTCAACTGCCCCTCCTTTCCCTCCGCCGCCGTATCGCCAGTCTTTCGTTATTTCATAAGTTTTTTCACAGCTCGATGCGCATGCCACCTTATTTTGTTCCCCCAGCGCACATCTCTCAACGAACTAATCATCCTCTTCAAGTCGCACGCCCACGTGCACGCACCGTTACCTTTTCAACATCATTTTTTCCTCGCACAGCAGTTCCCTGGAATGGCCTTTCAGGCGACATTCCTGCCATTACTTGTACTTCTACCTTCACAACCAGTATCACTAATCATCTTTCACTTTAGGACAAACGATTGTTTTCTGCTCAATTTTTATGTACCCAATCCTTATGTAATGCCCCGCAAGGGGTCTTTAAGGAAATAAAATGAAATGAAAATGAAATGTGTTCAGGCCATCCCCCATCTTCAGAAAATGTGACACCCTAGTACTTGTATTTGTGTTTTTTCCTAATAACTTCATTGTTTAAGATGTACTGATTTGTAAACATACTGACCCTTTTTGTAAAACTGACGTGCACGCATTTATTAGTATTTAGTACCGTATCATTATTTTTGCACCATACCTCCACGTGATTAAGGTCATCCTGAGCATGGCTTAAGAGAAAGAGCTTTAAAAATCTCTGAAAGTTCCTCTTCCTCGAAGGATATAAAAAGAATGCTAAAGTCAACGCTGTCCAGTTGTAAAGTCAACGCTGTCAATGTAAAGTCAACGCTGTCCAAAAAAAAAAAAGTCCCAGAAAAAAAAAAACGGAAACCTCTGAGAGCTTAGAAAACCCCTGAACGTTTGTTTCTCTTTTCTTCAAGGAGGATTTATTTTTTATCCTCCTCGCTTCCCTCTGATGAACACATCTTCTTTTCATCGTCCGTGATGAAGATAATGATTACTTGGTGCTTCCTTTCCCTTTGCACAGTGCAGAGGTTATGCCCATGAAATAAAAATCACAAGCTCGATATCAAAACATAAGCGTTCATCCGCGCGCCCCAGCTGATGCGGTATATGCTTGCGTGTAAATTGATAGCCTTGTTACACTCTTGTGTCGTCTTCTGCAGTAGCGTAGCCCGAAGTAGCACACTAGGCCCGTGCACCACCCCCCTTTCCTCCTAATGTTTCCCTCCATGGCATACAATACAGAGCAACAAATGACCATTTTAAGGGGGTACCCCCCCCCCCAAATCAAAGAAATGCCCTCCCCCCCCCCCCCCCCCCAAAAAAAAAAACATTCCGGCTACGCCCGTCGTCGTACGTGATACACGTTTCCTCTAGGTGCTCTGTCTGAACGTTATGTCCCGCTTGTTTTCACCGTTTGTTTGCTTTTGAAAATGGTAGGTTTGCCAACTTACCGATGGCTAGCTCTTTTGGCTGGCGGCCAAGTCAAGCATCCTCGCGTTTACAGTTGTGACATTATACCCAGCGATAAGGCCATGCAAACACTTCTTTCTCTCGTGGCACTCGACACATACACACACACGCGCACGCACGCACACACACACACACACACACACACACACACACACACACACACACACACACACACACACACACACACACACACACACACACACACACACACACACACACACACACCTCTAGAGCTTTATACTGAAGTAGTAATCAATAAATTCAATGAATTTAGGATGGCGGTGGGTTCGCTTGAGAAACATGTATATGCATGACTGCATCGATTGAGGTGCATATAATGTGTCCATCTCTGCTATGCCTTCTATATGGATAACAGAAGAAACGATAACAACCACCTGTATAGTACGAGTTTGTTTCATGCGTAAATAAAATATTTTAGACGTGACGGGCAGTCGGGTCAATCGAAAGAACAGAAGTTCATCCTTAGAAGAGCCCATTGTCGCTTTATGATTAAAAAAAAAAGCCACGGCTGGTATTTTTGCGAAAAGAATATTGAAATGTGACAAGATTCACCGGCGACACCGAAATGCCAAGGAGCTCAACAACCACGAATCTGCTAACGATCGAAATCGGACGTTATTGTTTTTGACAACGATTGCACTTGCCTCATGCATTCGTCATTGGAGTTTCAGTGCCGAGGCTTCGAATGGCGTTCGGACTAATGAGTTCTATTGTACTCACGTTGGGCGCAGCTGGCGAACAGAATAAAGTGAGGAGAGCACAAATTTGCAGAAACGCGTGGACTTATGGGCCAGGAGTTCCCAGCACCAAAACTCGCTACTAATATATGTGTGCCATGCGTACTATCATGCGTGGCTGTCCCACTCTCGAAGCTAAGTTGATCGATGGTCGATTAAAGAAGGCACGCTTATTCTGGACCGACATCCTGGGGAAAATATTGCACGGGCACTCTACGGTATTTAGGTTTCAGTCATATTCGGCGCAACTCAGTGGTCGGATTTCAGCACTCCGCAAAAATGACCAGGGGCAGCTTTTTCGGAAGTCTGATACGCGCAATTGGCTGTTCACAGACAGATCTTCAACTCCCTCAATTGTAATCGCCCGCCTGCTTTAATTCCAATTTTAAATGAATTATTGTCTATGATTTCTGCCATGATTAATACTTAATACGTCCCGGCCGTCGCAGAAAAAAAAAACGTAATGGTGAAAGTAGGCAGCAAATATCGCAGTTGGCTTAGTTTGAGGTTTTTGGGCACATTTATTGTAAAGCTTGGCATGTGCAGTGATACTTTTTCAAAAAAAAAAAAAAAACCGCGGGAACAATAAACGTGTAATCTGGAAAAAACGTGTGATCCGAATTTACGATCCCAATTGCGGGTTACTTTTAAGTTTTGGCGATTACGAGCATATGAGCTGGGAAGCTGTATTAAGCGGGAACGTATAAACGAGGTTCTGCTATATACAATATATAGGTGTTCGGTGTGTGCATACATACCCGCAGTTGCGGTGCTGTGGTTTTTCTTGGCGGGGTCTTACCGCACTGCATATTGCGCATACTGGGGACGGCTATCTCAATGGATCATGGTGTGACCTGGTGCCCGGCGTACTCAGGGGTTGAGAGAGACGAACGGGCGGACCGTTTGGCTCGAGGCATTAGGGCCGTTCCACGCGCTTCCCGCACAGCCGCAACGCAAGTGCCGGCACACCTGCCGCACCCAAGCGGAGGGTGAAAGAGCGTCGTCAATTGGCTTATTTGTCCCCCGCTTGCGTGCGGTAGGGGTCCCAGCACGTGCGTTGCGGCTGTGCGGGAAGCGCGTGGAACGGCCCTTACATGCCGAGCCGCGAACCGTGGGGGACTCTTCGACACCTGGCGCGCCAAGAGAAATCTTCAAATTTCAAAGACCAGGTAGGCGAACCACAAAGCTCCCCCTCATCCTAACCCAAACGGGCGACAAGCGCGGGACTGGCGTTGCCCGCAAACAAATACTTTCCCACATATACGCAGGTTACCCGGAATGTATACCCTCAACAGATACAGCGACACGTGTTCGTGTTGCGGAGCGAAACCGACATCGGAGCACAGGACATACCAGTGCACGCAATGTCCGGAGGCTGCCATCTCGCCTCTGTTCAATAACCATTCCCTAAATTGGTCCCTAAACCATTCCCTAAATTCCCTAACCATTCTCTAACCATTCCCTAAATTGGGAGGCGCGGTTCGCAGAACTGGAATTGGGAAGCCTACTGGCGTCCTTTCACCAGACCCGGCGAGCCGTTGTAGCCAGTGCGATACTGGAAGAGGGTCACCAACCGCCATTGATATGAATAAATGTTTCTTAATAAACGTATCGCCTTTAGTGCAAACGCTGCGTATACTTTTCACGAAAGTCGGCACTTCAGATTTTACAACGAACAGTATAGACTATCTTACGGATGGGCTTGCGTGCCGCCATATTGGCT